GGAAAAAGAGCAGCAACGGCGGCGACAATCAAGGCGCAAACAAAAGCACAGGGCGCCACCAACAGACCAGATGGCCAACACCCGCGGCTAGCAAGCAAGGCAAGTCATTGACGGTCAGATCCCTTGACGGAGGATGTGCAGAGAAGCGCGAGGTTGGCAGTTGGGACCATGACGCCTCCCAACTCCGTACTGGGAGGGGGGAGTACAGAGTCGGGAGGGGATGTGATCTGGAACCAACAAGTCGCTCCAAAGTCCCAACATGCGACTCCGTTATTTATGACAGTCCTTGCAGACCATTCCACTTGGGTGCATGTCAAGTAATGGGTTTGGTATATGGCCGCAGGCGCAGGAGGCGCGCAGTTGCGGACTTGCATCTATCTTGGGCGTCATTTCCCCATGGTTCTACGGATACTTTTGAGGGGATATCCATTCACCTCGTTGTTTCCCCCCTGGGGCGCGTACCAGACATGGAATAGAAATTTCGTCAGGGCCAAGAGCCTTGTGTTACCTTGGGCAGCGTACCCACGTTCGTCCGTCTGGTCTTAGGCCGGTTCGTGGATGCTGAGGGAGAGTTCCATTCTGGATCGATACCGTGTTCAAAGTGTCGAGGTGCATGGCAAGGGAGGCGGCAGGAAAAAAGGCAGACGGGCCGGTCAAGGGAGCAAGCGGAGACGACTGGCCTGCATCTTGGTCCGCCTGGTTCGCCTTGATGTTTGCCCACAGTGCGGCCGACTTCACAACTTTTTATCATTATTGTTCTTCTTTTCCACCCCTTCATCCCCTGGAGAAATACAGAGACGAGACAGTTTGCTCGTTGTGTGTAATGTGGGTGGCTGTCAAGTTGTGTACGGCTGGGTCGTCCTGTTAGGGCCTCCCTTGGTGAGGTGCGACGAGATTCCCTTGTTGGTCGAGTTTAGCTACGCAGCCTGGCCCAGTGGCTCAGCTGTCGATTGCTAAGAGAAAGCGAAAACGCTTGTGGCTACCTGAGCAAAAGCGGACGACTAATGCCAGGCCGTTTTCTTTCCTGTCAGGCGTGTGCTACATAGTACTCGAGGGACCAAGTTGGTAGATTAATTAGTGCCATGTACGGATGGTAGCGGCTTCGTGGTATCTTTTATGAGTGGTTCAAAGCCATGGATGGGTGCCGGTGCCGGTGCCAGTGCCAATGGATGGCTCACAAACGGACAAATGCCCGGATTATTGGCGGCGCGAGTGTTGGCAACAAACCACAATCGAGGAAGCAGAAAGCTGAGAACAGCCAAGACCAGACCAGACGATAAATGACGACGGGGACCCTCGCGGCTCAAGTTGGACTGCATCTCCGTCTCTTGATCTTATGATGTCTTCTGTTCCTGGGTTCGTTCCCAGGTGCCTGGTGTGGCAGTAGTGCGAAAAAAGACGGGAGCTGGGACGTTGAGGTGGTAAAAGTACCTTACTGCAGTACTCTGTACACAAGAACCGAACCAAGAGGCCTTAAGGGGAAGGGAAGGGGGATACTCCCGTCTGTAATAAACTCACCTATTGGACGGCGCGACATCGTCCGCCCGCTTCTGCCATTCCCGCCGTCCCCACTTCCTCCGTCCATACTTTGGTTAGAAGGGGAGGAGGGGGGTGAAGTGATTGGGATTAGGGGGGGTGTGAACGGTATTTCCACGTAGCGGGTACGTACCCAGGTGCCTGCTTCCCAACTCCATCTCTGGTTCAGCGTGCAGGTGCAGGAGCGGATGCAGGGCCTTGAGGAGCAAGAGCAACGGTATCCGTAGAAGCGTGCTTACCTACCTTGCCTTACCTACCTATCTTACCGACGATGGAGGCAGTCGCGAACCGTACTGGACACGACTGGCAAGTGCAAGTGCAGGCTCGTAACGCAGCGTACCCTCATCTTGATCTTGGCGTCCTCCTTCCTATTAGTCACCACGTAGCTTTGGATGTGTGTAAGTTGAAGTAATCAATAATAATATAGCATATCAACAAAGTAGTAGTGAATTTCTGGCGCATTTCCCCCAGCAATTAGATACCCATGACTATCCGTGATGCATCATCGTTAACGTCGCGTTTTTATATCCACAGCGATTGAATGACCGTGGCGAGGAATAGCGAACATTGAAGAAGGCACGGATAGTTAAGGCCATGGAAGTAGTAGCTGCCCTGCCTCGTACCTGCCTTCCTTCGTTCCCTACTGCGTACCGTAGTAAGGCACCTGGCCTGCCGCATTTCTCAGGCACGCGAGGTCCAAGACCCTATCCGTGACTTCTCCTCCATCTGCCGTCCTGACTTCCAGGTTGACCTCACCTACTTTTCGGCGTGTACCTTGATCCCTTCCCCTACCGGGGCAATCCTACTCACTTCATCTCGATCGTCGTCTGTGATTGTCGCTGTCGAGACACATCCTCGCCCATACAACACCTTACTTCTCAACCGCTCATCTCCACGACGGTTATTACCGAGAGCTCCTTACCTGGGTATGCATATCAATTCTTTCTCATGCTCGTGATGACCATCCCAGCCAGCCATTCAACTGACAACCGGGTTACTAGCTTCACCAGTCAGAGCTCAGAACCAGCTTACTTCTTGACGAAAAGTAGTCGTCGCCGTTGTCGTCGTCTGGGCCCTAGCCTCGTCGCGATATCTTCACCCCAAGCCAGCCAGCCAGCCTCATCTCGTCTCGACCTCGCGACCAAAGTTATGAGATAGCATTTGATCTGCTAGACGGATACCTATTCACAGAAGGTGCGGATAACAAGATTCACCTTGGCCATGCTTGCCCTCGGCTTTTGAGCCCTCTGGACAATGAAGGCAATCGACATCCGATTTTCCAGACCTCAGACGGGGATTGTCATTTATCTTTCGGTTCATTCTTTGAGCAAACCAACCATTGGAAGAAAAGCATTGGACTCGAGCTGACGACGGACCATGACGGTAGTAGGGACGGACGGACGGTACCGCAGTACCTCCCTTTTTTTGCCCATCTTTTTGGCACACCTTCACCGCGTATCTGGGCCCTCGGTCTTGGTTGTGTGTGCGTCCAGTCCAGTGTGTGTGCCGCCACGGTCCACCATCGCCGCCCCTGCCAACAGAAGCCACGGGCCTGCCTGCTTCTCTAGCCCCAGCCTGCCGTTGCCGTCGCCGCCGCCTGGCTGTTGCTGGCTTCCTGGATTCAAAGGGTGGCTTCCTGGTTTTTCCCTAGCAGCCGCAGCCCGCAGCCCGCACCGCGTACCGCAACCTGCTGCCCAGGTTCCATCTTCTCGACACCCCCCCTGGGCAGTCAGTCAATCCATCATCCATCACCTTTCACCCAAGTTCCCAAGTTTCCCAAGTCCCAAGTCCTGCACCGCACCGCACCGCGTCGAATCCTTACCTCTTACCCACCCCCCTGGGCCAGGACCAGGACCACACACACACCACGACACCACGACACCACTCACTCTCGACACCCCTGCTTCCCTGTCCCTTTGCTACCTTGCCTTAGTCTCCTGGAGACTGCCCGCTGTTGCTGCACCTTGCACGCCTGCTCCTGGTCTTTCGTCTTGCTGGGTCGCTGCCCTGTCCTTGGTACCGCAGTGCGACCTCAGCCTACCGCTCCTGGTCCCAGTGCCGTACCTTCCTAGTACCGCACCGTACCGCACCGCACCGCACCCTACCCTAGAGGTAAGGTACCTACCTCCTACCTTACCCTTTTTTCCCCAAGAGAAAGGCACTAAAAAAGCTGCCAGTGGAGGTCTGGTGCTTTTCTTACATCTTCCCATCTTTTTGGCGCAATCCCTAGCTTCCCCTCAACTTTCTCAATCAGTGCGCCATTGGATTCTTCCTCTCTCTCTCACTCACTCACACACACACCACACTCTCCACTGCCAACCCGGTACCTTACCCTTACCTGGCCTGCTGCCCTGGCACCTGGTCTGGTCTTGTCTGGTCTGGCACTTACCGACCTTAACATTACATTACCCGCCCTGTCTGTCTCTTTTACCTCCGACCTCTGCTTTCACTTTTACCTCCGGCCTGGTCCTCACCTGACCGTACATTACCTGCCGACCGACCAACACCTTTCCATCCCACCGAGCATCGCAACTCACCTCACAACTACAATCTTCAGACAACAACCACACAACACCTTCCTCTTTTTGACGTCGAGGCAAACGGGAAATACTTGATCAGCAAGGAAAATACGCCTGGCCATCAACGCGTCTCTCGCCGACTTTCGCGTTTTCAGTCTTCAGTGTCCGAGGCAGATCGTCGCCTACCGACCGACCGACCTCACTTTCATTCCTCGACGACAACAGCACCCCCGGCTCCTGTCGCACCTGTCGCCCGCCTTTTGCGTCATCCGCCTTCGCCTGAAAAGTCGGAGTATTCTCGATTCCGCTCTCTAAGATCGATTCCGCTCTCTAAGATTAATCATTCCAGTTGCGCATCAGTCCGGCAGACTAGACTGCACAGCTTTTTTCGCCGCCCTGCCTTTGCGCGCCGCACCGCTCCGCTTATTTTTGCGCCTGCGCTCTCTGACGGCTTACACGGCACCACTTTCTGACGTCCAACCCTCGACACCTCAGCTGTGTGCCGCCATTCATAATCAACGACGGACTGTCCGCGCCTTCCTTCCGCCACAGCCCGACTGGTCATGATTCTTGCCCTATCTGCGCCTGACCGCGTTTTTCTGATAGTAGGCTTTGACGGGTAGCTTTTGCGCTACACCACCACCAGACCGAGCTTTCTGGTCGCAACTTCCATCTCCAACCTCCGAAACACCCTTTCGCCCTTCTTCTTCTTCCATTACTACCATTTAGCATCGCAAGGTATCCAGTGGGAAGGTTTCAGTCGCGGCATCCTGGTGGATTAACCGCAACCAGAGCATGGCAGAGGAGCAAGGACGAGGGCCGCCTTCTATACACAGAGAAGACCCGTCCGTTCACCAGCGAGAAGACGAAGCTCGTCACCGGCTCCCTCCAGTGGGAGCCCCCGAAGATCACAGATACCCCGACGAAAGACACAACAGACCAAACATGGCCGCCCCAGTAACTCTCCCCTCCATGCAAGACCCTCACGGCGCCTATGGCCAGCCCGCCTACCCGAGGCCATACCCCCCTCACCCCGACCAAAGAGGCGATCCGCGTGGCGACCCGCGCGCGAGCAGCTACAATGCTTCGCCCAACTCGGTCAACGGCTACCCTCCACCTCAACCAGGTTCTCATCAGCAGCTGCCCTCGCTGCCGCCTCCGGACCCGAGATCTCCCAGCTACCCTCCCCCTCCTGACGCCAGGGCGGATGACTACTACAGAGGTCGCCAGCCGCCGCCTCCGGGATACGGAGATCCTTACTACCAAGACTACCACAGAGGCCAGGGCCCTCCGCCCCAGGGCCGCTATCCTGACTACCCCCCGCAGGGACCCGGTGCTCCGAGATACGACTATCCTCCCGGTGCGCCGAGGTACGATTATGGCCCTGGAGCGCCTCCCCTGCAACAAGCGGCACCGAGACAGCGAACTTCTATCGCGTGTAGGTACTGCCGGAAGAGAAAGGTAAGCTCGCCACTAGCACATCGCACTTTGCTCTCACTAACATGTAATTCAAGATTCGCTGCAGCGGCTACCAAAGCGCCCCTGGAGGCAAGTGCGTAAACTGCAGCAGGATGAACCAGGAATGCATATTCCAGCCGGTGTCATCCTCGAGTTCGACGGCTTTTGTTCCAGTATCGGCACTCGGCCCAGGCGGTATCCCGCCCGGCACGCCGCTCTACGGAGCGTACGGCCAGCCCTTGCCTCAGGGCTCGCTACCTCCGCCACCAGGACAAGGCTACCCTCCTCCGCCCGGAAACGGAGGATACTACCAACAGCCTTTGCCATCGCCGACAGGTGCTTACTCACCTTACGATTCGCAGCGCGCTGGACGGAGACGCCCTAGAGAAGACGAGGTTGACGAACTTCGACCCCCACCACCTGACCCGAATTCGGCCGACGATCCTCGCCGGCGATCTCCGGCCTCGAGCTCAAACCACAGCAGCCCTGGCTATATGAGCTACCAACCCGCGGGGCCTCCTGGCTACGATCCGAGAGCGATTCCCCCGGCCAGACATAGCCCGGGGCAGCCGTCAGCGATTCCTCCCCCAGGGCACGCCGCCGCAGCGGCAACGCAACGCCAGAGCAACTCATCAACCCCTGCAGCAGCACCCTCGAGCTCGGTCATGAGCCTGAACAATCTGGTGGACCATGTTGACCGGGACATGCTCGGAAAGTTGAATCGGCCGCCGCCGAGGAAGTGAGAGAAGTGGTGTATCAAAGAGGAAATCCGGATGCTGCGCTCAAAAACGCAAACATTTGCAATTTTCACGTCGTCCGGCGCAAGGAACGATTCTGCTGGCCAGGCACTCTCTTCGCTTCGCAATCCCCAAAACGACAACCAAGGGACAAATATTCTCCGCTCTTGCCTCGTGCATGGGCACAGCTGAATGCGACGGCGAGCAACTGTATTTGGTATAATACTCGTTACGCACAGATCATGGGAACGCGACTTGGGGCGACAGGATATTTCTGCCCAGTCGAACAGAGGAAAAATGGTGACGATGGGTTCCGGGCGACGAGTGCCGGCATTCGCTAATTGGGTCGGCATTGTATTGGTTTGAGTGTTCCGGTGTTTGCTGGGAAGGGGGAAACGAAACGGTGGGAGGTTTTTTGCTTGCTTGAGCACGGCACAAGATTCGTCATTATCAGCACTTGTGGCCTGGATTCATATTTTCGTCTCGTTTTCTTTTCGTACGCAGTCATTTCCCGAAGGAACGGATGGGTTAAGATTGGCCTGCCTCACGGCACACGTCCTGCTTTTATTTTTATTTACCCCTCTCGTCGTCATTGCACCGCAACGGATCGGTTTTCTTGAGTCCTTTTTTATCATTTCCCATGTCGTGCGTTGAGAAGTTGATGTTACCCAAAACCTCGAAGTTTATTACGATGCGAAAATCGCGCGAGCGATAGGGCTGGGCGGCAAAGATATCACTCTTGTTTAGTTGTTTTTTCGCGTTAAGCTGGCTCTCTCTTTTTCCCTCTCCTCTCTGCAGAATCATTTGGCACCGCGAGGGCTAACAAAATCCGAATTCCGTTTCTTCTTTTCGCATCATCATCATCATGTTTCTCCCGTCATGACATTGGTTACGGATGGAACGAGGAGAAAGTGGGAGAGAAAGAGAGGAGGAGGGGGAAAGAAGAAGTAATGAAGATGAAAAGTAGCATAAGCATATACCACCCCAAAACGAATGCTACTGCCAACGTCGTCGTTTGTTCGTCGTCGTACAAAATGCCACGCTATATGCACTTTTTTTTGAATTTCATATATGAACAGCTTTTCGAAAACATGTCTGAATGCCGTTATCGATATCGATAACGGACCAAGCTTTTAGTTGCTGGCGTCAAGCCCGCACATGGCATGGCAGTTCCTCCTCCCCAAGGTTTGTGAGAGGCCCGGACCGAATGGGATGGCGGCGGCGGCGCTGTCAAGTAGTTCCTCCTAGGTTCCCGCGGGGAGAACTTGATGTCCATGCCCTTGCGTTTGCGTTTGCGTTTGCGCGTGCTCCGGTCTGCCTGACCTTACGTTATCTACCTTGCCGTTTTTCTTACCTTGTTGCCGGCCGGCCGGCTGGCGGCGCGGGAAGAGAGCGTGGACGGATAATACAGTTCAGCCCAGCAAAGGCGCGCCCAGCCCAGACCCCGTTGGCCGTGCCGTTCCTTAGCGGGAACGAACTCGTCGTCATCTTTTGGGGTTGGTTTGTTGCTGACTGACTACCTGTACTTTGAAGTGAGGGGAACAATTTGGAAAAAATATCCCCCTCTCGAGATAGCAAAAGGTAGCAAGACAATAGTAACAATAGTAACAGCAGCAACAAGAGCAACAAGACCAAGAAGCCATTCTGTCCCCTCGAGACCCGGTGACGATTTAGACAAAGAAACCCCGAGGTACGGTTTGCCTAGATTGGTTCCCGCTTTGGCGGAAAACGCGCGCGCGCGCGCGGAAAAAAAAAACAAGGGGACAGAGACAAACACGGCAGAGAGACAAAGACCAACACACACCGTCCTATACAACACGCCCCCCGGGCACACAAAGAGCGGAACAAAGACGGGAAAGACTCGAGAGGGACGTCACCACCGGACCAGATGGACTATTGGAATTGGAAAAACCGTCGAACAATGGAATCATTGGGAAAAACGATCTGGTCAGCTGGATCTGCGTGGTTCAAATTTTACTCGGTCCACCTAAATTTAACGCCGATTGTTCCACCCTCTGTGCGTTTTATTCCATTGTGGCCTCTTTTTTTTTTCTGGTCGAGTCTTTGTTGCGGCGCTGGTGGTGCTTGTGGTGTGTCTCTGGGTGTTGTGTGGTGGGATAGGTTGGGAAGGGGGGGGAGACGGTCAGGGTCAGGTACGGAGCGGCACAGTACCACCTCAACGTCCCGGCGTGGCGCAAGAACAGGCAAGCTGTTCGAGCAGGTAGACCGGGTCAAGGCTGGTACTTAGCGCGGGCAGCATTTCTCTTCGCCTCCGGAGGGGTGGAATAGAGGAGGAGGATTCGAAGGGCCGGCGCGTGGCCACTTGTTCGAGTCGTTTTTTTGGAGGGGACCCTTCTTAACGCTAGCCTTTCCTCCTCCTCCTCCTCCTCTTTCCTCCTCAGTCGTGTCCCGGCGGGCCAACGAACGAGAGGGATTGATGAATGAGGACGAGGAAAAGGTGGCCGGGCCTCGGTGCCCCTCTCCGCAATCAACGCTCATGGGGATCCGGGATTGGGTTAATCCTGGTTTCTACGCAGACCGCGCGAGCGCCGCCAAGGCAAGGGGGGCGGTCGAGAGGTGAGGGGGACGGGGACGGGGAGGGGGTTGCGGCCACCTAAAAAGGAGAAAGCCGTGGGCAACGTTGAGCACTGTGGTCCGAAGAACCGGCCATGTATCCCGAGTACCTCGAGTCACACACTCGCGTTCGCCGCTCACCGACATGACACGGGGAAGGTGGGCGGAGGAGGGAAAAGGCTGGCAACGACCTTAACAAGCAGACAGAACGGAGGAACGCTCGTACTGCGCACATACCAACCAGCTAATAAGGAGGGAAGACGCGGGTTTGGGACCGTCGGAAGGACATGATGCGCTTGCAGCGGTATCCATGGCTTGAGCACAGTCTGGGGAGCGGCAGCTTTTCTGGCAGCTAATTACTCACATTAGTCTGTGCCTGATAGATGCAGGTCGCTGAAGTCAGGTGAGGTCGAAGCGCCTTGCTAACTGCAGAATGGCCAGTGTGTTTACGTCCGCAGCTGTGCGTGGTTATGTCGGACATTGTTCCAAGTTATCTGCAGACTGTAGAGTCTATACTCAACGCTGAACCTCAGGCAAAGCAGTAACACGACTGACGTAGAACTCCGACTCTTTGCATATGGTGCCGAGTGTCTTGGGTCGGACCGTCTCGCGAAAGATTGAGCGGAGGCTGCGTGGCGACCTTGACTTGCTAACATGCAGAGAGCAGGGAACACTTCGTGCTGAGGAGGTCCCCAAATGACTTAGTCGGGTTTGAACGCTTAGCCTAGCTTCCTTGTCGGCCAGTAGGCGCAGCGAGACGCGATGCGTGTGTTTGAACAATGCTAGTGTTGATGGAGACGGAGGCGTGTGAAGGGGGACGTTAGACAGGGAAGCTTATAGACGGGGAACGAGGAGGAAGATAAGCGGGAGGATATTGATACTACTCACTCCCATCCCCGTCCCTGCTGCGTCGAAATCCTTCGGACGCTGGTCCGCAATGTAGCTCGGCTTTTTGTTTGCACTTTCTTTTCTTTCTGTCAATGTCGTCCTGTTGAAGTGGATATTGATGATGCAGAACGTTTAAAAGTAACCGCTCCAAGAGTGAGTTATTTTGACCGTACAGACCGACATACGTGCATACACCGCCAGCGACTTTACGAATGAAGTCTCCTCTCTTTTTTTTCCTTTTCTCCTCGTGTAAAGGAGGGGGAAGAGTGGGAATACACAAGACGCGCCAAATCAGCGTTGCAAAGTACTGTGGATGAGCGTTGAAGGGGCTCTTTTGCCAAGTGAGACTTCATACGTAAGCTCACAGCGTACCATAGTAATTCTATGGTGGTAGCAACTTGCGCCTTTGAAGCTCTTTTAGGATGATGTCCGAAGGCAATGCGTGCCAACCGAAGGCAGAATAAAAGATTGAAATAGACTAAAAGAAGTACTTGTCAACACGGCCATACACAGTACACCAGGCTCCTGGGACTCTTTGAAAGCGTGGCGGCGCGATGACGGGCCCGACGGGCTGCTAGCAGTTCCAAGACAGAGGTCAAGAGGTTCTGAACGTTGATAGTAACACGCTATCTGGCGGCACGGAGCGGGTTGGATGAAATGACCTGATTTAGCGACTTCGCACTAGTTTCCACGGACCGTACAGTCCAGCGGCTCTACTCGTTCCGGCAAAGGGGGCCAATCTTGGCGATAGTGGGAAGGACAGACGGTGAGAGAAGTCAAAGGTAACAGCAGAGAAAGGCGGAGGAGACATGGAAGCGGGAGTACGAAACGATGGGGTGTGATCTCGCAGTGCGCACACCACCACTAGGGAGGGGGGCAAACGAGAGGGGGAACGAGAGAGAAGAGCTGTGGACCTTGACAATGTCAAGGTCAGGTACCCTCTACCTCACTCGAGACAAAGGGTACCATGCGGCGGAATCCAGCCAGCATTGACGGCTCGGGGCCACCGAGAGATGAGGGGAAAATCTGAACATGTCCCTTTTCACGGACCTGGAGGAGACACGGGCGGGCGGGACTCGGGATGCGGACACCAGACGTCGTCTGGCCTCGACACGCTCGCCTCGACCTCTGGGGTTACATCCTGACGTGCAGCAATCTTGCAGGATAGCTGTCCATCCGGAAGCGTCGAAGTACGTCCGTCTGAGCCTTGTCTATCGAGCTGTCAGTTTTGATGTCGAAGGTGTGAACCTATTCAGTAACCGTAGACGACGAGGCGCATTGTAAACGGCCAGCTCGATTAGTCTCTTTGCCTCTCGCGGATTCGAGGAATTCTGTCATTAAGGTCGACACAAACATGTCACATGGTCTCGACTCTATGCGGGCGCAATTGCTCCAGGATGTTGGGACGTATCTGCCGTCTGTCGTGTGCCGTGTACATTGAAAAGCCTTGCCCCGGGACTGGCCGAAGATCTGACTATTGTGTGTCGGGTTAGCTCGTTGACTGTGCGGTCATGTACCTTAAAGTTGTCCTGTGATATGGAACGTTCAGACCGTCACAGTGCTCAGGATATGGGAGAACCCGGGAAGTCAAAGATTCAGACAACAGGAGGGGATTTGAGGGACAGGAAGATGCACATCCGAAGCTCGGACGGTGTCCCAGAGACTTGACTTGACGGCAGGGCGGGCACTTGACTTGGAAGGGGTGCGGGAAAGGGCGTGAGGGGCGACGAAGGAAGGGATGGAACGAGGCGTGCTGACTGAAAACGGTGGTGCTAAGGTTTGTATCTTTCCCGTGTGGCGCGGAGGGGAGATTTACATTGCAGCTTCCCCAGCTTGGCTTGATGGCTTAAGTTCTGTGGAAAGGACGAACGTTTGGACCGCGCCAAGTTAGGAACGAAGGAGTTGAAGTTAACAAACAGGAAATAACCTGGTAGCTGGTAATAGCGGCTGTAATAAGACAGTAGCGGTTGATGGCTGAGAGAGGAAGGTCAGCTGGGTTGATCCGGACTGCGCTGATTTGGACGACATTGTTCCAATCATCAGCTATCAGCTCGTACAATAGCAGACAAACCTTGAGCGTGGTTGAAGCGCGCAAAAGTTAGCTTTTCATGACGTGCAAACATGCCGTCAAATTCTCTGCTGCACTATGCCTCTTCTCCTCTTTTCATCAGCAATCCTCCCAAAGCCGAAAATACGACATTCACATTGCTGTGTCGTTCAGGTGGAGTGATCATGCCATCTCTGAAGGAGACGTATCCCTGGCCGTCGATATCGCGGCAGATCCAGACGCGTTTGGTCTCGCCCGCAGGCAACTGCTTCCTCCCAACGACCTTTTCGTGGTGAATTTCCACTGTCAGCCCATACCTCATCCCACCATAGGTAAGTTTTGATGAATCCATCACGGCTACGGTTGTACAAACATTCCGTGAGATGCAGTCGATGGCATGACGGCTAACCTGGGAAGAGAAATGGCTTCGAACGGTGGACGGGAGAGCTACCCGAGCTCAAATCTACCCTGATTCACGCTGAGACACTCAGTACGGGAGGCGAATTTCTTGCAAAGCTGCAAACAGACGTCTCGGCGAGACATACCGCCGTGCTCTTGTCACTTCCCTCGACTCTCCTCTATGTTGTCTCTCCCTTGGACCGCTTGCACTAGGCTGCCGGACACGTTTGTCGATCTCGATCGGCCACGTTTATTATTGTGCATTCCTAGGAAGCATCCGACTGTTTTCCCCGCCCTCGAACCCCTATCCGATTAATCTACCCTCAATGGAACGATGATTCAAGGGAGGACAGTCGCCATGGGCAACGGACGATGATCCCACGACGATTCCGATGACGAGCGTTGGCGTCTCTATCCCCGAGTTTACCGTCCTACAATAATGAAGGACGCCGAGGCTTCGAATCGGCATTCCAAAGAAATACTTTCGCCCGTCGAAAGTCCTGTCTCAAGTCAGCTAGACAGGTAGCCTTGATGTCTAAACCCGACAGGGCTACCGAGAACGATAGGATAGAATCATCCACTGTTCGATCCCTTGCGGAACCTTCCTCCCGTCCGAAGGCCCGAACTATCGGGTCAGGGCTTGCCGTGAATGGCAAAGCTTTAGTGTCTGTTGAAAGACAGGCGAGAATCGTGGTGACATAGTCGCCGTCATTCCTGAATACTTCCTAAGCCAATTCGAGAAAGTGCAAGAACATTCGGGACGGGCCAGACCTCCCGCGTTGGCCAGTCACAATTGTTCATTAGCACATTGAAGTGGTCGATGGATTGACCTACAAACAAAATACCTGTCCATAAGCGCATGGACAGGGAGTATGATGAGTGGAATAGCAGATGGATACTACCATCAAGGTCGGGAGCAGGGCAGAGTTGTTGAGTACATTGGTTCTGGCATATCAGTCTTGACACTCCAGCTTTCTCTCAGGGTTAGGGTTACGCTGATGGCATTCTAGCTTCCATTCACCGAACACCGTCTCCGCTCGAGTCACAGACGAATACCGAGGAACAAGCCGGCAACGAAAGCGTTCTAGAGATTAAGCGATGGCGGCGCGGCTGGAACATGTCTCGCGGGTCATCCCAATTCCCCTGGGAACTAAGCTCGACCAGATCCTCGGAATCAATGTCTCAGCTCCTACGTAGACGGCCGAGTGGCCGTAGACTTCTCTGCAGCGACACCCAATGTCACTGTGAGACATTCTGCTGCCGTGCTCAGTTCACCTTGATAAGCCTCTTTTCCCAGACCCCCTCCCTGCGTAGCGACACGCAATGTCTCGCCACACATACTTCGAGAAGAGATGTTGTGTTTGACTAGCAATTTGTCACGGGATCTTGGCTGAGGTCTACGCGTCCGCACCGTGTGGACCATCTGCATGACACGGCTCAAACTGCGATGCTTGACTGGCGATGCTTGCCGCTCTTCTTGGATGATCGAGACATCACCGTGACAAGAAGACGATATGTAAGAAAACTGGATGGGAGCTTTCAGGTTCCATGAACTCGATTGACCATGTGAATGACCAGCATGCTCGTCTGAAGTGGAGATGGTTCAGTACTTGTTATTACCTGTTCTACCTGGTAGAAAGCTTCTGCGAAGTTATTCCCGACTGAGGCTAACAACTTTGGCATGTGTCATTGACAAGGTGACGGAATTACACAAGAGTGGACGTGACGAGTACACGTTCCGTCAGAGCGACTCATTATTTCTCCTTGCGTTCCAATCCATGACGGCCCTGAACACATACACAACAACGAATCTGTGTGACGTGCGTGTTGCTACGGCATATCAAGCTTAGACTTTCCCCTATGCCCTATCCTACTGTATGGAAATTGTTAACGACTGGTAGAACGGAATTGCGAATGCCGCATGCGGGCTCTGGCCGGCCCGGGTGGAGTTCAGTTCGAACACGAGTGTGCTCTCGTTGAACAGTCTGCAAACTGCTATGGAAGGCAGGCCATCACTTTTACCATTGGAAGTGGATTGAATAAGTTGTAAAGGGTCAATACAGACAGGATGAACAAGCTCGTTATCGTCTACTCGTCTCGTTCTGTACCCTACCTATGTTGGTCCTGCAGACATATCCTTCTGCAAGGGATATCTATACTCCCAGGTCACCACAGCGCTCCAGAATACACCACCATATATTTCCAAGAAACAATGAAAACTACAGACCAACGACGAATCTCTAGAGTCTGTGTATGCTTTCCGAATCTGCTAAAAAGGGTAAATATCTACCCCAACGCGCCAGCTTTCGAAAGACCTTCCACGGCCACAACCACGCCATACGGACAAAAGAACCACAAAGCACGCATCCTCCAGATCCGCTCTACGTGATGAGACCACGAAACATAATTGTTATTTTTCTCTGCCCGGCCCCAATCTTCCTGCCCAGTCCCCTCCCCTCGGTGAGCCCCGACTAAAAAAGACCCACGCGATTGCTGGCTCGGCTCGCCTCTCACCTAGGTGAGCCTGTGCTCGTGTCGGTGAAAATTAGAGTTCGGGGTCTCTCACCGAGAATCCTTCACCGAGAATTCCCTTCTGTGGAGCAAACGCCGACCGGGACCGGCGGTCGGTCGGTCGGTCGCCGGCGCGGCCGGCCGATAGAAGCGGGAACAGCAGCGACCGGGGTGGTGCGTGTGTGGGTTAACCCCCGGGCATCCGGTCTCGGGAACCCCCTTCCCCTCCCCAGACTTTCTCGACCATCCTTGGTCCTTGGCCACCACCCCCTTCCCGCGCGTCATATGAGCTAGTTCTCTTGTCTCATCACTCTCTTCTCGTCTTTCTGTCACCTGTCAAACTGCCGAGGTGGGAAAACGAACGGGTTGCGGGTTGGACGGGCGAGGGGCTTGGCTCTTTCTGCCCGCGCTCCCCACCCCCGTTCCTTTTCTTTTTATTTGTTGTCTTGTTCCTTGTGTGATGCTGATGCTGGCCGCTCACGGCCCGAGTCGCGAACGATGCCGTTCTGGGGACTCTGTTCCATTTTTGGAGTTGACATTTCATGCGCCGTGAACTCTGCTTGTTTTACTCGAGTGATTATGTTGCCAAGCAAGTGACGCGCAGTAGTGGTGGGAAGTTATTTCAAGAGAATGAATTCTCATCAGTCTTGAGCCACGCCTCGCATCGCATCAATGTGTAGAATTAGGTAGCCTCCACCTTGGAGGCATCATCACAGGCAGTAGTCACGAGGACGATCGATATTCGAGACGAGATATAGCGGTCATGAACTTCGTTGGTATCATTAAGATTAGAGTGCTGGCCTGCACCAGTCTCCCATCTATGCGCCGGTGATGGCTCTGTAAATCTGGTTCTGTTTTTGATATGGTATCACACGCGCTTTTCCCTCAACTCTGCCACCCAAAGTAACTCGAAGTCGATGGCCCAGTGCCTTCCTCCTATTTGACCGGCTTGCGCTGGGCGATGCTGACTGTGTCCATTAATCGCCATTAGTCGTAGTCGGTGTCCATGTGCGGTGTTGGCGGGTCAGGCGTCGGTGTCGACGAACGCCCTTCGACGCTCATCTCCTCGCGGTACGACATCAGCCCGGACTCGTTCCTCTCCAGCACGAAGCACCGCTCGGCGAAGACGCCGTTCTCATTCTGCCGGCGCCACGCGGCGCTGAATCGGCGGACCATAACCTTTCGCCATCCTCCTACGTTGATGGTAATCTGCTTCCAAGGTACATCGGGGTTGACCAGCTCCTTCCCAGTTAGCAGGAACTGGAAAGTGCGGGCGGCCGCATCGTAGTCGCGATCCATGCCCGGGTGGACGACTTCGAGAGGATGGAGGACCGTTTGGACGTGTAACGTGAGCGTGTGCAGACTGCGGAAGTTGCAGATGGCGCGGAGGAACTCGGTAGGATCGCAGAGCGCCACATCCATGTCCAATTCGAGCGTGTGAACATGCGGTAACCCCTGAGCCAGGGTCGCGATGTCTTCGGCCCAGAGCGTTGGGCATCGCCGGTCCTCCTCGCCGAATCCCACATGGTCTCGAAATCGAAGTACCTGCAATGAATTCCCGTGCCGCAGAATTCCGTCGAGAGGGAATAGTTGAATGTGGCAGCTGATGCTCAGCGTCTGCAAAGCACGGATGTGGTTGGCGACAAGCAGATACATGCCACCTGTTGCCTCTTGTCGCTTGTCTACGAGGTGAGCGCTGTAGTCCTCGCAATGTAGCCGGCGTAGGCCTGTCAGATGGGTGAAGTCGACGGACGACAAGAAGTTGAAAACCGGCACGGATATCAAGTCGAGGGACTCGAGCTGAGTGAAGTCCCAGTATTCTCGGGTTTCCTCCTTGGTGTGATTCCAATCGTAAGACTTGAGAACCAGGTCTTTCAACGGGGGTAACCGTTCGCCCTGAGCGAACTTGAAGTTCGTGCCTTGACCGCGGTCTTCGTAGTGGAAGGTCTGTAGCCGTCGAGAAAGGAGAAGGAGTTGCTTCAACGAGTTCAGCCGGGTGGTCAGGGGCGGCGCTGGACTGGCCAGTTTGAGAGAAACCAGGAGGTCGGTCGGTATCGCTCGAACGTAGGTGTCTCGGAGTTGTCCCTCGAACTCGCGAAGCGGAAGGTCTTCGACGAATAATTTGGTGCCATTGAACCGCGTTTGCTGGGGATTCAGCACGTCTGATGGGAGCCAAAGTCGCCCTGATCTGAACTCGGCGTCCACATAGTGCCACCTAAAGCAGACCGTCAGCTCGTGAAGCTTGAAATATTGATGCCCGAAGTACTTACCGTACGGTTTTCAGTCGTTGGACCCGATCCAGCACTCTACGAATGCCGTCCGGGTCCAAGTCGCTCCGCACGACGACGTGGTTCGTAAAGGTAGAGACGTTGCGCAGAAGATTAGGGTAGCGCGTTTCCGCATCTGGTGCTACGATGCGCTCATTAAGACATAATGTCTGGTAGGTTACAGGAGTCGCGATGGCCTCGAACCGTCTGGACAAGCACCGGGTAGCAGCAACTGCACGCTCATCAATCTCTCGAAGCTAGGCCGGATGTGTCAGTCAATGCACGAGGGAAGTGAGCAGGCCGCCTGGTGCTGGCCGCGGCGGAAAGTTGTAGCGTACCTGCTCAAAGATCAGAGCTAGCAGCTCGGAGCTGAGGTCATTCAGAGACCATTTTTGAGGTGGTGCGCGGAGGGAGGATGTGGTAGCCATTCGCCAACAAGTGGCGCTTCCACATGGAGGAGCAAGAGGAAGTCAGGGTTGAGGTGATGTGTTTGGGAGAGGCAGAGGTAGAGGTAGGAGTAAAGACCCCGTGGTTAGCATCGAGGGGGGAAGTAAGGGTCTTATCAACGGTTCCATGAATTGCGAAAGCGTTGTACTGTTGAAGAGAGCTGGGATGGTCCGAAGTCATGATCCGCCAGTTGACATATGGGGCTAACCTGTTTCCGGACAATGTCACGAGCGGGTACAATTAGATGACCCAAGTTAGCCAGCAGCAGCTAGCTAGCCGGTGTGGCGACTGCGGGACGGAAGCGAATAGAGGCGCCGCGACGACGACAACGACGAGGACGACGAGGAGATGGTGGAGGATGACGAGGAGAACCAGGAGGCAGGCAGGTGGAGGAAGACTGGATGGATCGAGGGCCGGGATGGGGATGCGATGGAGTCAACTGGGGGTCATCTACATTAACTCGCAGAAGCCGCCTGCAAGATGAAGGCGTAGGTAGATGCAGCCCGGGTCTTGGTTGGTACAACTGCGCGTATGTGTATGTACGTATGGTTGTTGACAGGTACCTTGGCTGCCGCGTTTTCTCGATTTGGTGGGAGAGGCGAGAATGGAGTCTTGATATTGGGGCCCGACTCGGACCGGGCGACTAAGATGACCGGCGCACAAGGCGAGAATGTGTGCAAAACACGCCCCAGTCAACAAGATGGGCGGCCGCAATCATAAAAAGAAGCGAATGAGCAGACGTGTGAAGAAAGGAAATGTGGATGGAGGTCGGGAAATGGCGGGCTAGATGAGCGGATGGAAGAGACTTTTCTAAGACTAACACGACAAGCGCGGAAGAAGGCAGAGAGATGATGAGACAGGCCGGCTGATCATGGTAGGAGCAGGACTATGCGTGACGAACAGGCCAGCAATCGGAGTACTTCGTACGCAGTAGGTAAGAACAGACCTGGAGGCAGCAACGGTATTGAGAGATAGCAGATACACGTGAACCCGTGGCCAGCTCACCGGGTGCCCCGTACCTCGTACTTTTACCTCGTTCTTGCTCATCTTGTAGAAAGAGAAGCTGGTAGGGATTGGAGTGGTTTGGGACCCTGGGCATGGATACTGGACAAGCAGACCGAGTGGATAGAACATGTTTCAATTGACCTGATCGGCCATGGGGACGGGGGACGGGGCAGCCGGTACCCCTGGTACTCGGGGCAGCTTACTATACCATGGTACAGTAGCAAGTATTTTGGTAGAGAGGAGACAAAAAAAGAAGACAGGTGTAATGAAAGAACATGCCGCTTGGTGTGAGAGATGAGGTCTGAGGTGCTGAGGTATGGGTGAGGAAAAAGAAGAGGAGACGGGAGGAGGTCAAGGGACGTTTCGCAAGAATGTCCCAAAAGGGAAATGCAGATTTGGACAACATGGGTGGATCCCGGCAGAGTCTAGAAAGACCCCCTGGCTAATGCGGGGATTGTAGCAATCCGAAGATCGCTGCCGTCTGCCTGCATAAACACTGCATACCTGCATATCCGCCCGCTCTCTGCAGACAATTTCTTTCCCTCCTTCCCGAGGTCTCCCACTCTCTCGCAGCTCTCACCCATGCACATTGCACACAGTCGACACGGCCTCTTGCCTTTACCCGCCTCTTCCCTGTCTGTCGTCTCTCCCGTCAAGACAAAAAAATCTTCCGTGTCTTCTTCTCCGGATGGAACAACGATCCCAATCCCAGACGCACAAAGTACCGCCCCCCACTGCTTCCCAGCAAAACGGAACCTGTTCGACCTCACTTCGTTACCGCGACCCGACTCGACGACTCCCATCTTTCAAACACTTCTCCATACTACCCAACCTGAACCGGGCTCATCCATCTTCATTTCCCAAAGACCCGGCAAGCTGGCAACGATGGTACTTGCCGCTCGGTACGTTACCGTTACCGCGCATCGAATTCCGGTGCTGATGAGGTGTCGGCCTGAGGTGACGCAGACGGCAATGGTACCCTCTCCCGTCCTTCCCTTCTCTGCCTCCTCTCCCTCGTCTACAATCACCAGCCATCAGCCATCAGCTTGTCATCATCAGACGATGAAGCATGGGACCAACATGGCAGATGCCGCGTGCCAACGTTGCCGCCCCAGCAACCTCTAAAAGTCCTCAACCTCGTAATCTGCGAGTCTGGGTCATATCTGGGATTCGCCGTCCTCAGCACACGATCAGCCCGGGATAATAAGATGACCACATATACTTGTCGAGATGATCAACCATTCGCTACTCCGAAGTCGAACGTTCTTTTTGAATTGCGGTATCCCGCCGGTCGTCAGAGAACCACTTCGTTCTCGGATACCTTGGCAGTCAACCTTGCTTTGCCTTGCTTGACATCGACATCGGTGGCATGTCAATCTCGCCGCCGGCGACAACGACGCTGATCGAGTCATCGCAACCCACCGTCCACACACTTGCCTCAGCTGTCAGCCAGCCCACAACCCAATCGCGAGCCGCGCCGTGAACGGACGTGCTGCAGGTTGGGGTTGACCATCCCATAACGAGCAAAAGATGGCTGCAGGGGCTGACACTTCAACTTTCATTCTCACGACCCAATCGCTGCTGAGAGAAGACGATAGACCAACAGACGACTTCGTTCCCTGCAGGTCATGTCAAGCTGTCTCACTCTTCACAAAGTTAGATGTGAAGAGTGCGAACCCTTCGATTTGCGACGCTCAGATTCCCGCCGTCAAGCTAGGAGCCCCTGTTCGACAACCTCCGTGCTCCCTGTGACTCTCGGCCCGCAAGTCGTTTTGGATTGGGATGGGACTGGAGTCCTGGACTGAACACACCCACCCGCGCAAACCAACCGGGACCCATATCCCAGAGCCACGGTGCATCCTTAGTTTTACGACGTTGGCTGCTTGTGGAGACTGGTATCCATTCCAGAAGAGACATTACTAGGACCGTTCCTTTGTAACCGGGAATATTCCGTTATCCGGGCTGCTGGCCAGCCGCCAGCTAGCAAATGGATGCGATTTGCTCGTCTGGTCTTGCGGACAAACCCTTGCTGCATCCGTTGTCGAACAAGGCCCCCAGATCGCCCTTGCGTGCCTGCTGCTCTACGGATACAGAGAACGAATTGTGCTCGTTAACGGCCGGATTATTTTTTGTTTTTCTTTCCTCGTCAGTGCGACGCACCGATTCTGCACCATTGCAGGAAACACACGTGCCAATGCGGCGCAGGTATGACAGACGCCCATGGACGATGTTGGCGCTCGCAGGCGCGTCTGGCATTGGCAATACCGGCCGCCGTGGTTTCACAAGAAGACATGATGACATGCGCGATACACGGCATGCTGTTATGTGTTGTGCGGGATCGTTATTCAGATCAGGGTACTCTTATCCTAAGAAGAGGCATTTCCACGTCAGAAAAGCCAAATGTGAGAGCATGTTGCGCTAATATGCATTTGGCGGCACACCATCCGCCACATCCACCGCTATTCATGTACACATGCATGCATACGTCGAGGAGCGAAACCGCTTTGGGCTCGAGTCGCGACATCGGTACCAGGAAAACGTTGACCAGCCGCATATCTACATGCATGCGGCAGCGGCTGCTATGCCGTTTAGGCGAATGATCCGCTCCCTTCAACCACAACGACACGACGGCTGCTAGGCACTCGCTCTTGCACTTGCATTCGACGACGATGAGCCGTTCGATTGAGTTGAGACTGTCTGCCAGTCGGTGAATCAGCTGTACTCGCACCACCAAGAAGCAAACGAGTGGACGAAACCACGCCAGATCATGGCAAACAAGCCTGTATCCGCCCTGATCAGCATTTCGGCATACAATCCCGAGTAACTCGCATTGCATTGTCTCGTCTCGTGGCAATGGCGTGTCCAACAAAGAGTCAGCCAGCTTGGAATACGCACAACACAGATGCACGCACGCTACACTAGTAGTGTACAGCATGGCAATATCTCCACTTCATCATCTCAAAAGCCCTCACGCGTCAAAACATGGCTGGCGGCCCTGATTTTAGAACATAGGCGCGAACTCTAATTCGGCCCGGCTACAACGATACGTGCGGCAATGGGCTGTCAATGACACCCGACGAAGCCAACCCGGCCTTACCATTGACTTATCGTCCAGGTCTGACCGACTCAACTCTCCATTATTCCAGAACAAAAAGAGGGCATCCAACAAGGCGCACGGCTCAAGCAAGTTGAGGGGCTGGTCGATCTTGTTCCATCAGCCGCATCGTCTGATCTCCGCTCAGGAATTCCAAAGATGCGAGTGGTCCATCGCACCCATGTTCAGCTCCCTGCACTGCCCGCTCACTAGGTTTTCCACGTTGCATCCTGGCTAATCAAGCCCTTGACGACTTTCTTCAGAGTCCCAGTCCCGTTAACCGTCAACAATCATTATGGATACCGACTGTCATTACATCCCTCGCCGCCAACTGCTCGAAAGGGGCACAATACGCAAACAATACCGCTGTTAGTTTCGTCAGCCCGAACCACCGAGAAACGAAACAATTCAACCCGCTTTCTTGCAGCTGCAGGTGCTAACTTGGGTCACGATTATCACGATATGAACGCTGGACGTGATCGTTGGTAGACGTCCTCCTCGACGCGATCGAGCATGCCCGGTGCTTTTTTTGCTCGTTGTACCTCTCACGCCCACGCCCGCATCCTCTGATTCAAGGAGAATAGGCGTTAGGCCTACTTGAGACCACGCGTCTCCAATACCTGAGTAACGCGGCGATTGCTTCCCTTTGATAGGGCGTCGTTGAAACAAGGCTGGCGGGGGAGGGTTCCGAACCATTACTCCAACATGGTGTACTCAGGTCAGGTCGACCTGGGACGGTTTGCCGCCCCTACACGACAGAGTTATTGTTGAGTGGTGGATTAGACTCTGGACGTCAACAGAAGGGGGCCGCCCTGACTTCATCGTCCCATATGCCGAGACGAGCAGTGTTTGCAGCGCCAGCACGACCCATCTCTAGTCGTTTCCCGTCATTTACTTGGGCTGCCTGCCGCCATTGGGTCGGACGCAAGACCGATCATCGAAGCCGTGATGGATCAACCTGGTAGTGCGGCCGAGAGAGCGTGCTTCTAGCGCTTCGAGGGTCGCGATTGGTGGCGCTCACGCCTTCCATCAAATACTCTTTTAGGACTGGCTTGCGGCTCCAAATGGCGGCGTCCATCACTACAGACACCAGCCAATGCCACTATTGGCATTCTTGCTGGGACAATGGTCACCATCGGGCATATTTGGATCGACTTCTTCTTTCCGCACAGCGGCGCCATCGCCTTGACTTTCAGCATACAGTAGTTGTTCACCAACAAAGCGTTCTCAATGAGGACGATGTTGCGAGCCGCCGCAGATGAATGCCAACGTGCAAGCCACCACACAATGGAGCTCAGCCACGCGAACTCGCGATCATCGTCTGATCCGGTCATTTTCACCCCCTTACGTCGAGAGGGGAATCTGACAGTTCGCTCGTTAGCGTCGCAACGTGGTAGGTGATACCATCCAAAGGGTGACACCATCTCAAAGTTATTCTGTCGACTCCCGAACCCACGACCAGGATAAGCTGTTTCCCCCGTCGAACTGCGCGCGCCGCTGCCGTTGGCCCGACCCAAGAACATGATCTCCAAAACGTTGCCTCGTGTGTACCTACCGACCAACCACCCTGTTCCCCCCATAGCTCGCTCAAGGAACCCTGCGGCCGAAACCCCCCTTCCCCCCATCCCACCACCTCCTCATCTCAAGGAGACAAGTGCCACCGTAACCCCCATTCAGGAGCGACTCCAAGTGGTCAGGGAAAGGAATCAAGTGGCTGCCAATATATGCAGACTCACGATCCATCACCTCGTTGGTCCTCCGATTCGCCCGATGTGAGATCGAGAGGGACCGGCCCAGGCCACCGAGACAGCCGATGGGAATACCACCACCACCGCCAACCACCCTGACCAGCGGGTAAACACTTGCGTGCCTACACGGGATTTCAGATAGATGGATTCGTTTCTTTCGTCCCGACGACGCGCCGGGGTCGGGGGTCGACGTACTCTAAAGCCCATTTGTCACGCCAACCACGGATTCTTTTCGCTTCTCGAGTGTCGATTCGGCATCGAAACCCCTCAGGGAAAAGAAGCGAGAGAGTGATAGACGGAGATAACCTGTTGCTCCGGGTATGTTGCCTAGCTTTTCGTAGAATTAGCACTCGACGACGAATCACCTGGCATCGCCCCCCCCCCTTGACAAATATCCGCTTCTTGGTGTTTTTGTCACCACGTTGAGGGATCTCACATCTTCGCGTCTAGACCTAGCTACCTACGGAGAGTTGGCCGCTGCAATTCAAACTTCAGTCTACGTCGCCGAAGGTTGTTAACCTTACCAAGCAATCGCCGAGCAGCTCTCTCACACTCGGGGGGTGCGGAGGGAAACGGACTAGAAACGGAGAGACGACGGACTACTTTAGCCAGAATGCTGCGGGTGTTTAGCACATACGACCATACCCACTGGAGAACTCGGGATCCCGTCCGCTCTCCCATAGATAAGCCAGTGAGGGCCGGATTAGTAGTTGGGTCGGTGACGACCAGCGAATACCTGGTGTTGTATGTCTTTTTGCTTTTTGCTCATCTGCTGTCCAGTGACCGTTGCCCAAGCTCCTTCTCGGCTTGGGGATTGACTTTTTGTTTTAGTATGAATCTAGCGTGAGTAGTAGGATGATGCCTGTAAGTATTTTGAACCTGATGATGCATTGGTGGTTTTCACGTGAGCGGTTCTAAGACCTCACTCGTCGCGCACACAGGGAAAGCAGGAGGATAACATCTCAGCTAACGACTCCTAGACTCTGAATATCTTATGGAATGGTGCTGTTAATGCTGGTCGTGGCTTGGTTGAGCTGGTGACTGATGATGCCTAGCTATGGAAACCTTTCGCTCTTGTCCAGAAGCTCCCGTCGCCAAAAAGCCGTTTATATCAACCACACAGGTCAGCGTCTCATCCCTTAACAACAGCTCCGTTCTATACCTCACAACGTCAATTAGAGAACAGTAATAATTAAGACATCTACTGCTCTTTATCCTCTTTTCGTAGCCCCCGTTGGAAAGAAGTCGTCAACATCAACCAACACAACAGCCCGGTCCCACATCACCCGACATCAGCGTGAGAAGTCGCACCTTCCTCCCCTTATATCGAGGTCTGCCTTCATTTATTCTCTACAGCGAGCAGGGCAAGGTGGCCCAGATGGTCAGGTCGGTCCCCTACACGATCCTGATCCGGACATGCTTACCCTTCTCGTTGGAGCTCAAAGGTTCGATTGTGCCTTTTGCCATTCGACTCCTTTTTCTTTCTCGGTTTGCTTTTCTTATGTATTTCCCGTGGATCCTATCTAAGTAGTCCAGCCGTAAGTAATGTCCTCCCAAGCAATTAAGTCTCCTATGGTCTCCCCGTCTTTCTACGATACACATGGGAAGCCCTTCCTTTCGTTTCCTGGCCTCTACTTCTTCCAGTGGCAACAGATTTCAAGTGCGGAAGGCGCATACGATGCGGGTTAGCAGAGCCCCACGGCATAACGCGGACTACTCTTGGAAAAGGAAGATGTATGCAAGTCCTCATCACACCGACGACGAGATAGGGACGGTGGCAGAAGTCGCGGACAAGATGTCCTCGCATCCAAGTAGTGAGAGAACACCATAGACCGAGATACATCTCAAGACCACGTTCATCCAATCTCCCAAGTCACCGCGCGATTCACCAGGGGCACTCATCGACTTCCATAGAGCGGTGACACCGCACGTGAGAATCCCAGCCCCTCGATGATCCTCGAGCCGGAAAGATCAAGAAATCGAGCCCAAGACGCCGCGCAGGATACAGACAGGAGAGACGAGTTCCAAATCGGGATGGAAATAGAAAGGACAACAAGACAGATCGAGATACGCTTCATCTCACATCCACCCACCGCGCGATTCACCCCGGGCCCGGTCGTCGCTTCGAATCGAGCGTCGGCACTGCAACCCCCCTCCCTCCCAATACGCGGAATCCCACCCTCTCGATACTGTATCCAAGAAGAAACGAAGACCACATCGAGAAATCGAGATTCAAGATCACGATGCGATACCGACTACGAACAGTGGGACAACTTCCCAAATCGGGAGATGGTGGCCCAACGCAGACGACCAACGGAGCGCGGTCCGAAGATGGTTCCTACCGCGAGCTCTCCCATTCACCCGGGAGCAGGAATAAGCAATAATACCACCACCACCAACCTCGAGTTGGGAAACGGGCCACATCGGTGCTTCGGTCAGTCCACCAACGCCCGCCTCCGCGGTCCCATCGGACCACCGTTTTCCCTCCCGGGGCGGAGTGAGTTGTTTGCTCCTTCGAGATCAATCGACCCAAACAATCATGCCTGCAAACCTCGAGGGGACGTTGTGGCACATGGGTCCTTTTTTCCCCCCTTGCTTGCGGGCGGACAGGTGCGACGACGTTGCCGGTGAGCATGCAGGTCCACACGGTTTGGGAAGTAGTCGCGAGGGAAGGATTCAAGTTGTGGTCTCTGCGAAGAGGGCAAGTCGTCTTCAAGAAGGGAAAAAAAAAAGATTTGGTATGCCAAGTAGCGTATCGTGGAGCTGCTAAAGAAGAAATGAGAAAAAAAGATTGATGGAACGTAAACGGTCTGATTTCATTTCAAGCGTCCCCAGCCATGCGCCGTGCTTTGCTGATGCCTTATTTCCCGATAACTGCAACTCTTGGCTTACGGAGGACGCAAAACTCCCCCACATCAAAAGCGACCACCAACACAGTTTCCATCTGCCCCCTACCTAGCGGTTTGTGAAGCCTTACCGGGTGGAACTGCTGCCGATCGGTATATGAGTTTGAAACACCCCCTGTCTAGACTCGGTGCCCGACTTAGTATCTGTTGACCGGCTCTTTCCTCTTGATCTTGGGAGTCGATTCATAGAGATCGTCGTCGGAATCCTCCTGTGGTGTCTGTTGACGGTTTCGAAGGTCGACGGTCTGGATCGGGTTGCCACTCAGGGGACCGGCCCCAGGCGTCGCGGCGTCGTCAGCCCCGTGCATTGTCACCTTGCCGACGGCGCTGTCTTGTCTTCCGACGTAACTCGGCGTCGCGTTGAAACCTGGATGGTAGGGGTCGAAGGCTAGACGCGGCTCCTCGCTAGGCAGACTTGGCAATTCCACGGCGTTGGAGGATCCGCCAGCTCTGCTCGAAGACGAGTATTTGGCGTCCGGCTGGGGATCTCTGAAAGGATCGTCCGTCGGAGCTTCTGAGTACGGCTTTGGCGGTGGTCCTGGAGGTGGCGCGAATGATTCGGCTGCCTTGCCCTTTCCGTTGCCTTCGGCCGGTCGTGATGGTAAAGCTGGAGCTGGTGTCGAGCTGGACGACGACGACTGAGCCTGCTGCCACTGTTGCGGCGCATCTGGGTGCTGGCCTGGATGTTGGCCATTGATAGAGTTGGGGCTGATTGGGCTGGCATTCTCGGACCGCGCTCCGACTCCGAGCTGCTTGCGGGCACCGAGGACGGCTCTTTGGTGCTGGTTGAGTGCTGATTGAAGCTGTTCGTTGGTGTCGATCAGATTCTCCATCGTGTCGTTGTCCGGGGAGGGGTTCTCTGCCCTCATGTAGAGTTGTATGCTCCTTGAAGCACTCTGACATCTGTCGGCAAACTCCTTGATCAAATCGTTGTTGAGGACCTCTTGCGGAGGGGTATTAATGACCACCTGAGACAGCAACTTGGCAGACGTCCTGGCCTCCTCCAACCGGCTTGTCAGCTCCACAGGATTTGGCAGTGTCGGATTGTTGTGATGACGCGCAAAGTAGTTCTGGGAATGAGGGTCAAACGGCGGCGCATTCATGGTCCGCGGGTCAGGTGGCGCTGAGTTTCTCGGCTGCTCAGAGACACGTTAGTCAAGCCAGTTGGGCCAAAGGGGGTTCGGGGAGACTGACCACTGCGCCATACTGCTTGTAACCGCGCTCCTTCTCCTTCTTCCACATGGATATCAGCTCCCCAAGGCCCTGGTCGTCGAACTTTGTCGTCTCAAAGTTATCGAGGGTTTCCATAATGATCTGCCTGACGCTGGGATCGCGCGTGGAGCGATAAAGGTCCTTGACGGTATCGGCGAACTTCTTGTCCATGTTTCGGGTGAAGGTTGGGCCGGGGTTGTCGGTGAGGATGCGAATCAGCATAATGGCGTTGTACTGCCACGAAGCCTTGGCCATATTATCCTTGGACAAGTACTTTCGAATGATGCGGGCGCATTCGGCGGCGGCTGCGGGGGAAGACTCGGCGGCCTCGACGATGGGCGGGAGGTAGAGGACTTCATCACCCTGGAGTCTCGAGTCAGCGTGCTATTCTCAAAACTCGGGCATCTTGAGGGGACGACGTACAGCGGCATTCGGGCCTCCAGACTCGCAGAATTGTCTCTATCAATTGGGTGAGCTACGCCGGTTGCACTAGAGGGAGCGGGAATCGCATACCACGCTACGGACCGCGATAGCTTCGGGAGTGTCGTTCTGCGGGTCCAGGGCGGACGTCTCGCTGGGTCCACTGAAGCCTACGTCGATCAGCACCTCGTTCGCGGCGACCCTGCATGCCGGCCGGAAGACGGCGACGCGGGGTGTTTCTACTCACCAGTGGCCGTTCGCTTTTTGATGGTGCTCATCATGCGATTCACACTAAGCCCCTTCATGGCCTTCATGTTCGCGGTCGGGGGCAGGCTGCGGGCCTGGCGGATTGGTGTTCGGAGGATGAACGTCAGGGGTCCTAATGCGAAAGACGGACCAACCGGATGAATGAAGTTCGGCGGTGACGATGGTAGGTGGGATAAGGATGATAGGTTTAAGGGCCGAAGGGTGTCTCGGACGAGACTTGGAAGAACAGACAGAAGTGACAGATGTCTGTGTCGAAGGACCAAGGTCGTGCAAGTAGGTACGGACAGAGCGAGAGCAGTTGGTAGTCCGTGGGAAAGGGCGGAGAGAGGCGGACTGAAGTTGTTTGTTGGAAGGAAATGCGCAGGGCCTGGGTCGAGCTGCAGCCTGGAAGTGACGCTCGGAGGTGGGAAGGGCCAGACGAACTGGGGGGTTATTTTAAATTAAACCTCAGCCCGGCGTCCCGCGCTGGCAGTGAATGGCAATGAATGGCACGGCACAGCACAGCACAGCGGGCACTGGACAGTACACCACGGGGTCCTCTAGGTAGGCGTGGAGTGCGTGCGTGCGTGCGCGTTGGTCCAAGGAAGAACTAGACCGTTGGAGACGATCTGCCGCGGGGTGAATGCCACTTCGGTCTTCTTGTTGGGTAAAAGACTGGGCGCGGCGCGAGAGCGGGTGATAGCAGCCAGAGCAGAGCGTCAAGGGTCGGGGTCGGGTCGGGTGTTTGAGTCTGAGCCTCCTTCTGCGATGTGCGACAGCGGAAGCCGGCGGTAGCGTGTCTTGAGTCTGTCCGTGTCCAAAGTAATGACTTTTTTTTAAGCTCAAGCTTGGGGTTTGGTTCTGAAGTCTTCGAAAAATAGATCAAGTCAGGAGACGAAGGTTCGACTTTTGAGTTGATGTTTGGATGAGTCGCACCCGCTCGCTGATCAACGAACTGCCGCTGAGTGCCGTTGCTCGGTAGGGACGTCCTTCCAGCAGTTTTCTTCGGGATACACGGGCGGCATAGAAACAACACGCATGAGCGAGAGAGAAATGACAGATGAGGGCGAAGGTGGGATTGGATAGAGCTCTCTCTCTCTGCTGCGTGCCTTGCTGCGGTAAGGTGTTGAAGCCAGGTACTGCGTCGAGACTCGTGCAGGCATGACGACGACTCGAAGGCAAACTGATGCGTCTAGCGGATGGCTGTACACGGGGGCCCCTTGCAATGATTCAGGTACGTACTCACCAGGTACACGATGAGTGTCAGCTAACAGCGAAACGGCGACCTACAACCCGTTTTGATATGACGGCTCTCAGCTCCGCTGTTACAACACGTTCGTTCTGTGAGAGCCGAGTCCAGCCCAGTGACTGGTGGTAAATCCCATCTTAAACCTGGGAATCCGATCTTGGTATTAGTCCAGATGTTCGCGTCTACCCACATTTATTCTGCAACATGGCCGTGATGCCACTGGACTGACTCAAAAGCAACGACAGGAGAGCCGCTGGTTTCTGGCGAACAAACAGGTCAATAACAAGGAGTGACAACAAAATGGGCAAAAACTGGACTCGCATCAACCAGAGACAGCCCCCGTTTTGACGTGTGCGGCTAATATCCAAGCATTCAAGGCATAATTCAGGGTCCTCTTCCACTGATGATCGAACGGCATGGATGGTTTACGGCGGTAGGTGCTAATAAAGGTGCAGTATTATTAGTGTCCATCCATCCATTGGGTTGGTTCCTCGTTTATCTTGTTGCCGTCCGAAGTCGTCAACAAATAACATTTCATGATGCCTTTTCCTCCTCCTCGCTATCTCTACTTTTCTCCTTCTCGTGTCTTGATCCATCGTCGTTTTCTACCGTCAACGGTGGTTGACAGAGCATCCGTCTGCCCCTCACCGCCGGCATTGGATTCATTCGTTGTCTCCTCCACATGGCTGCCCGTTGCACAGCCTCATTCTTCCACGCAAGCACTTACACCCTCATCGCGGCTGACCACTGACGTACATTTCATCAGCGCCACGAGACCTGCAGCTTCTCGCGCTGGTTGATCTTGACTTGTGGGGTCTCCAAGACGCCAGACCTCAAAGGCCACGCAAATCACCGCTGCTGACCTACCCGCCATCGGCTGCCTCTTCCCTGGCCGAATATCTCATTAGTCTGCCAAGCCGGGTTGCGGTCGACGTTTTCGGCGATTACCACTTGAGCCCGAGGCCTGGGCACACTTCATGATACTGTGACTGGTCCAAGCCGCTGTCATTACTGCTTACTTCATTTCCAAAGGCTCAATGGGCCGATGTGGTCTAATCTATCATTCGGTACACGATGCAGTCGCTGGGCCAAGTATAAGTCTCTACTGCGCCCCGCCAGGTACGTCGCTCACGACGAGTAACCTTCGCCATCATCTGACTCGCCATCTGGTGATACCTCCTCCACAATCAAGTTTCCTGAGCGCCCAATTTTCTGACCAATAGTCTCCTCCTTACTGGGCTCGTACACAACGCGCGGCATGACTGACGCGATGCGGAACTGGAACTCATGCTCGTAGTCCTCAGGCTGGAGTGCAGCCTTCTCCGAATCTTCTGCTGCCGCCATGACATCGTAACACTCGACGAACGCGTACAATGCCTCCATGGTTGTGTCGCTCCGGAATCGACGCACCAGCCTGCCGGCCCCAGACGACTCGGGCATCTTCAGGGCGATGCGCACAATCTCCTTGCTGCCGGCTGGTGGCTCTTCATCGATGGTTGTCGCCCGCCAACGTTTCCATTGTTCACGCTGTTCCTCCCGCTTCGCCGCTGCCGCTGCCTCCTCTTCAGCTCTACGCGCCGCCTCTGCAGCGGCCTTCTCTGCCTCGCGCCGTTGTTGCGCTCTTTCCCTGTCCTTGGCTAAAGAGCGTTCGTATGCCGAATCTTGCTCGTTTCTGAGAGTTCGCGCTACTTCCTGTGCTGTCCTCTCTGCCCGAACGCCTGCCAAGTCGGGCGCATACTTATTAATGGCAGTCTGCGCTTCCGCCAGATATGTTGACGCAGGCATAGGTCCAGCTAGACGCTTGATGATGCTCATTCTGGTGCTTCCTTCCTTAGGGGTAAGACAGACAATGGCGGAGAAAGGGTATTTTGTGCAGTTGTACTCTTGAGCAACTTGGTAGGCCTCCGAGTCAAGAATGTTGCCGCCCCAAAGAATGATGTTGTTGGCGGGATCATTAATGAAGGTGACCACGTCCGGAGCCAGAAGAGTATCTCGTACAAAAGAATCCGTATCGTCGTGCTCGGGCGACATGAGCACGACTAAAAGAAACTTGAGGTCTTTCTTGGCCAAGTCTTGGGCTTGCGCAATTCCTCCTTCAAACCATGGAAGCTCTGTGTTTCCATACTCCTCTTCAAACTCACGCTTAAACCGTGCGGCGGTATCGCGTGGCATGAGCATTCGACGCCCGTTGGTGCTTCCCAGACCATTGCCGGCTGCGGCAGTAATGGCCCGCGGCCGGAGTTGCTGCGGCAGAAAGTTGAGCAGGTAGAAGACGGTACGGAACACCTTGGACACGATGCTGTAGCCGATGCTGAAAGGCGCCAGCAATAACCCGATGAGGAACGGCGGCCGTCGGACTGTGTTCGGCTGGGGGACGATTCGCGGGGCGGGGTCCGGCCGGTCTCTTCGGGTCGGCTGCGGGCGACCTGAAGAGGCCAGGAGGCTTTCCTGCAGATTCTCATGTCGCGCTGCTGTCCTGGGTATGTCCTGCGCCATGGCTTCTGCGACGGGGTCGGGGCCTTCACCGTCAAAGAACTTGGCGATGGCAATCTGTAGTCGCAAAATGGTCAGCGAGGGCTGCGGACATGGTATAGTAGGGAGAAGGCCATACTTGGACGTTCCATTGCGATCGCTGGAGCAGAGGTATCGCATCCTTGAGCTCCTGATTTGTTACCTGGGTGTATTGCTGCAAAGCCTCTTGCTCACTTGCGGAGAGCTGTTCCAAGTCCAAGTCCCCAGTTTCCGCCATGATGCAGGGTAAAGACGGCTGTGTCCAGTTGTCGGAAGATTTCAGCAGTCCATGGGGCAAGTTGTCGGTAATAAGGTAAGGCGCAGCTTAGCGACGGCTTGCTCAGGTCAGACGCTGGCTGTAAAGCTGATGGTTGAGACGTAGACTATGCAGGCCGAACAAAGAGAACGGTTCAAAGCAAGCCCACGGGTTGGCCGGTCGCACAAGTTGCGGAAGAGTAGCAAAAGCTGAAGTGCAGTCGAGAGCAGCAGGTAAGCGTCGGACGTGGCTTCAGCTACCTAGTCGAATGGATGGGAGTGGGAGGATGTCAAGTCGGAGGTGAAGATGCTCCACTGGAGAGACAGGCGAGATATCTGGTCCAGTGACGACACTTATCCCGTGAATGTGGAGGCAGGGGGCAAGGTGTACTTCCGCACCGTGCCTTCCGCTTAAGGCTTTCTGGTAGGGTACCTGCTTTCCAGGGCCTGGTAGCTGTTCTTCAGGTGTCTTTCCTCGTCGTGTAAGGTACCTTACCGTACGGGAGGCAGGTCCGCGTCTGCAGAGAACCGCGTTCGGGGGTCGCAACGTGTTAAGAGGCTTATCGCTTATCGCGCTATGCGGATGCTACTCGTTAAATACGTAAATGGTTCATTGCATTATTACATTTTGCATACAATGAAATCCGAATCACCATAAGATGAAAGGCTGACGTAGCTAGCAACGTGCAAATGGAATTTCACAATGAAAGCAGCGTTCTATCACTTGCGTGGTTTGTATGTACTTTTCCAAGTTCCGCTTCATAATTGGGGATGATAGCTCGCATCCTGACCAGAGCAGCTCTAAGACGTCGCCTCTGTAGATCTTGGATCTTGAGTGGGAACAGCAGATAACAATGAAAACAGGGGGTTAATGTCGTTTCCTGGTGCTCAAGCCTTCTAGAGTCTGGACAAGTTTATGCGCCGTCAACTGGGAAGAAATTGGACATGAATCATGTTCTTCCTCCAATAATGCACTTATTGAAGGTCGATTTACCTAGTCCGTTGCTTCATCCTTCGGCGCCTGTGTGTGCCCTGAGGGGAACTGCCTTGGCGTCAGGTTGGAAGTTGGCTCGTCCACGTTTAGCGCCGACAGTTGAGGCAAGTGCAGCAGCATTTTGCATTTTAGCTGCGGGTGTGTCATCAACAAGTTACAACCCCCGGACCCCGATTTGAATCTGTGCTCCTCCCTCAGCCGTCGTCGGCTTCAGCGCCGTACCTGCCACTGCCTTAACAAACTCTCTTTGGCACATCCGACTTGCATCATTACCGGGCTCTTTACGATTGCGACTGTCGCCTGTCGCTACTCCCGCCGTTGCCGCCGTCGCCGCCGGTTTCTCTCCTCCCGTCGTCTTCTCCTCTTCGACCTTGTTTCTTCTTTCGTCGTCTTCCTCGTCGGGCGCGCGCGTACCTACTGCTCGGCGTACCATCCGTTATCCGGCCGACTCCAACTCCAATCTCTGCCGCCCGCCGACGCCTTACATCACTTACCCGCGACGTCTCTACTCTGGTGCGAACCGTCTGCGGCCGACTTCAACTTTGACGGCGTCGTTCGTGTGTCCATGACCGAGACGTCTACCCCACCACGATTGTTCGAAGCATGGGAAATGTCTGCAAGGATCAAGTGCGTCAGGCCAAAATTGTTCATGTTACCCCCCCAGTCCGTCGTCGCGCGCCAGCCCCACGCGAGCTCCAGTCCTTCCATTCTGCTTGCACTTCCATACAATTGCCCGCCTTTGTCTCCCCCGCCCAGCCCATGACCAAGTTCCACGTCCAGCGCGCGCGCGTTCAACAACTTCTACCACCACATGGAACCGACCCCCGACGACGAGATCATGGGCTCTGCATTTGGCTGACTCTCTGCAGACGTCGTAGCGTCGACCAAGGGGCCGAATATATCATCCACCGACCGTACTGATCATGGCCACCTCGCGATACCCGCAGTCCGATCTGCGTCGACAAGTCGGGTCGCCAAAGCCCAAAACCCGAGGCAAGTCGACGCCCACCTTCAATCCCTAGAGTTCCCCAGAACTCGAATGCTGACTCGGCGTCAATTGGTTCAGAGAACAAAGATACAGATTGCCGGAATGTCATGATATACGGACATTGCCGCTACGAGAACGCAGGCTGCGCCTTTAATCACAACCCAAACTCATCCAACTCGACCCGGAATAGCCCTCAGAGCCAGAGCAATCAGTCAGAACTGTAGGTGTTTTTCTGCTCCAAACGCGTTGCATCTCGCCCTATTTGTGCCCCTGGGAATCCTGGATACGGCCTCGCGAATACTCGAAAAAAAACGCCGAGACTGCCCTCGCAATCCGAGTCCCATCATCGGAGAAACAACCCGTAGCGATAATATAGATCGGTTCAATGTGGCGTTTGTTGGAAAAAGCCGGAGACCGTCCGGGGAAATGGGATTTCTACAGCGGCACGTAGGGACTGGTTCGAAGACAGCGATATTCTTCGTAAGGGGCTGGGACCGACGCGTTGTGAGGTAACATCGAATGCAGCAGCACTCTGGGTACTGCCAGACTTCTGTTGTCGATCCGAAACGGTTGAACTGGTCGGCCTACAGTGTATTTGCTCGGAGCGTAACCGGAGGATTTATGCAGCAGATGGACCCCTCCTACATCATCGGAGCTGAGACCGAGCTCAGCAATCACCCTTTTGTCCCTCAGGCACCAATCACTATCACAAAGCATACAAGGAGCCAGGGCTAACATTCAGACTTGTTCAGCTCGAGAAAGACACTCAATGTCGATTCACCCTCCTTCACTCCTGCTGGCCTGCCATCTGTAGCATCTCCGAGCGCCAACTCCTCAGGCACCACAAAGAAATCAACATTTTCATCTCAGGCTGCCAGCGCGGCAGTATTCACCCCAAGAGGAGCTGGATGTAAGTTACCTAAAGTCCTGTGGTCCAAAGGTTGCTGCTAACAAACCTGCCAGCTGCTACACCGGCTGCCCAAGAAGGAGAAGCATCATCAACAGTATTTAACCCTGCGACATTCCGAGAATTTACTCCCCAGAACTTTGAATTGAGTACCGGTGTAAGTCTACAATTGGAAATGGAAAGCTTCTTCCATGCAGATGGCTCATCTATCAAGGTTACCGCCAATGGCGCGACTCCGGATCCAGCACTCAATTATGACCCATTTACCATGCCAGGCGTCGCGCAAGCATTGCCGCCGACGCCTTTCAACCCTTACGCAGATGACCCAACTGGTCTCGGTGGCTCAAGTGCTGCGTACTTTCAACACCAAAACGCTTATACCGCCCCTCTTCCGCCGGTAAGGTTTGCGACTGTCACTGGCGAACAAACCACTGACACAAGCAGCTTCAACATCATTGGTATGCGCCTGTAGGGCCTTACAGAGAAGACTTGCTCCCATTTCAGAGACAAGTTCATGACTTTTTCCTACCGGAGAAGCTCCGCGAGGAGATGCAACGCAAAGCCGATGCTTTGCAGCAGGTTATGCCAAGTATGCACACCATACATATGAACAGAGTCAACAAGCTGACAGTCTGCAGACTCGACACTGCCTGCATTGGACAACTACTTCTCACTTGTGCCTCTCGATACTAGTCACCGAAAGAGTTCTACCGTCTTTGGTTTTACAACGTGGGTGTACAAGGCAACATCGTCCAAGAATGGGCGGACATACTGCCTCCGCAGAATCGAAGGTACGCAACGAGTTCGAGTTTCACCACCTCTTACTGACTCGTTCAGGCTTTCGTTTGACCAACGAACATGCTATCCGCTCAGTTAAAGAATGGCGGCGCCTCATGAACGGCAATGTGGTAACCATTCACGACGCGTTTACGACGCGTGCCTTCGGCGACAGTTCTCTCTTCTTCGTTCACGACTACCACCCGCTTTCCAAGACTTTGGCAGAGCTGCATTTCCCTCAGGCGGGTTCAGCTCATGCGAACCGTTTCGCCGCCAAGACTTCTATCCAAGAAAGCGTCTTATGGGGTTACGTCTCGCAGATCGCCAATGCCTTGAAGGCCATCCACGCGTTGAACCTCGCGGCGCGATGCCTTGACATGAGCAAGATCATAGTCACGGACAAAAACCGCATTCGTCTCGGCGCTTGTTCTATACTGGATGTTATTGACTTTGAAAAGCGCCGGCCTGTCCAGGAGCTGCAACAAGAGGATCTGATCCATTTCGGAAGGCTGATACTATCATTGGCCACCAATACGCCACCTAACCAGCTGACCAACCTGCCACCCAACCAGCTCAAGGGATTGATTGAGCAGATGAGCCGGACGTACTCCAAAGAGATCACTGACACCGTCCTGTGGCTTTTGACGCCGGCTCCTCCAGGCGCTACGCCAAAGGGAATCGAAGAATTCATCAGCGGGATTGCAGTTCACATGGTAGCAACACTTGACGCTTGCCTACAAGAGTCCGATACCCTCAAGTCGGAACTTTTCAGGGAACTGGAGAACGGCCGCCTGGTGCGTCTGATGGTCAAGTTAGGGGCCATCAACGAACGGCAAGAATTCGATGGCGACCGGACGTGGTCCGAAAACGGCGAAAGATACGTCCTCAAGTTGTTCCGGGATTACGTCTTTCACCAGGTCGATGCAAATGGTAACCCCGTGGTTGACATGGGCCACATCATTAGGTGTCTCAATCGGCTGGATGCTGGCAGTGACGACCGAATCTGTCTTACCAGTAGAGACGAACAGACCAGCTTCGTAGTCAGCTACAAGGAACTTAAGAAGGCGGTGGGCAACGCATTTGGAGATCTTCTCAAGGGAGGCAAACAACCTGCCAACCGGGGCTTCCAAGGCTCTTCCCACTAGGGTCGGGTCGGGAGCAATGCCATCAGCCAGAACGCGGGCCGCAGCTACTGCCGGCCGATGCCGAGAGCGCAAGCTCCTCCCATCAGGGCTGGAGAGGTGGAACCCCCTGATATCAAGACTACACAAGCAAACGAGGGCGTGGGCCGCAACAATTCGAACCAGGATCAGTCGGTGGATATATATAGCCCAGATATTCGAAGGCGAGGGATGCAAGCGAGCCGGCCACGAAGCATGCTAAGCCTAGGCATGAAGACCGTTGATATTGGCCTACCGCGGAATTGGAATATGGGTGGATGATTGAACCTGGATCTATGCTTGGGCGCGGTTGTGGCGCAACTTGGGCTGCGCTTGCACGGTACAAACTTATAGCAGCGAGTGCGATTCAAGCGGTCCTGATTTGGACGATCTTTATAGATGCCGAGGAGCCCTCCAAGTATGGGGTCTTCGCTTTTGAGACATAGGTAGACGAGATGACGCAGAGATAGCAGTAACGAAACAAATCTTCTTTTTTTCATTCCTTTCATGCGCAATGGCATCACCGGTGGCGCATGAAGTATGCCAGGCTCGCAACTTTGAGCATCCGCCCGTCGTGTTATCCACATAATCTCGCGGCACCTGCTCTCCTGCCTTGTAACCACATGTCCCGACATGTCCTGGATTCATGTCTGCCACTGCGGGTATCATCGTCTCGATCACGGCCACGCTGTGCATGCCGACAAGGGGCACACACCCTTTCGTTTTTTGCGTTCTTTCCCCTCCCAGCAGGCTCACACGTACATCATGCGTCATGTCCGTTTCGTCTCTGTTGTTCCTCGACCACGGCGGGTTTGCTTCTCATTCCTCCTCGGGCTGGGCGAAGGGGTTGGCTATGGGCTCGCTGCCGTCGAGCGGGCTGACGAGGACGAGGAGGGTGCCGCGGGCGACGACGAGGCCGAGGGATCGGGTGGTCTCGTTTCCTTCCTCGTCTGTGTTTGCGGGAGGGCTTTCGTTAGCGACTGAGGTGTTTGGGGGAGGGGAAGAGGGGGTTTCGTGTACGTACCTCTCATGACTTCCTGGACCTCGTCCAGAACCAGGTTCATCAGGGCGTCGTAGCCCTTGAGTGTGCCGGTGACTAGAAGCGAGACTGGTTAGCGATCCGGTCCGAGGTGCGAAACTACGGTCGGCGAGCGAAGAAGGAAAAGGACCGGAGTCCAGGGAAGGGAGGAAGAGAGAGAGAGAGCACGAACCTTCGCGCCCTCCGTTGAACTTGACGGTGATCTTCTTGTCCATGTACTTGGACAGGTCGAGGATGTTCTCCTTCTTGGGCCTCTCGCGGTCGCCGCCGCTGCCCTGGTTCCCGCCTCCGCGGTGGTGGTGGTCGCCTCCGCCCCCGCCGCGTCCTCCTCCGCGACCCCCGCGGTGGCCGCCTCCGCCTCCTCGGCCGCCGCCTCTGTGCGATCCTCTATCCGCCATTGCGCGCTCGTGTGTGTGTGTAGTGGTGGTGTTTTTTGCAATTGTGATCCGCTCGCTATCTTGGGGTGATTCGTTCGAGCGGGCGGCTGGTGTTTTTTTTTTTTTCGTTAGGCCTCGGTGTACGGGGGATCAGTGACGTCGAGGCGTGGTGGTTTGCTTCTCGCTCCGGGTGCCGGGGTGTGAGGTCGGTCGATCGCGGTTGATGATGGCCTTTCGAGGAAAATGACAGAGCTTGGGGGTCGGATGGAAGCTTGGGGTTAGGTTGGTTTGTGTTGGTTGGTTGGTCCGGGCTGTGGTGGGGCCTGTTCTTTTCCCCCCCGCCGCCGCCGCGCCGTCTGGTGTCCCGGCCTCCGTGATTGGGCGGGGTCGCGGTCACCTTTTTTATTTTTATTTCTTTTTATTCCATTGGTGAGTGAGGTTCACATATTCACGATATCGACAAGAAGGGTTATGAGAACTACTTCCTCAGTGGCTTTTACACTTTGATGCATGTTTCATTAGCCGACGACGCCTATTCCGCGATTTGTTTCTTGCAAAGTTTCTCACGGTGAGGAATTGTAAAAGTGTCTCGGCAATGCAAGGAAGGGTTCGATTTTTGATTCGAGACCGCCGTCAAGCCACAAGTGGAAGTACGAGGGCAATGCAGCAACGAACGGCTGGTCCGGAGAAAAAGGATGCGCAATTCGACTCGTCACCGGTTTGCGAGTTCCCGCTCGCCGCCTCGAAAAAGAAGGGTCAATCTAATTTCGTCCAGATCGACGAACTCCGAGCCAGGGCGCCGCGCTGATGAATTGGGCTATGCAGCGAGGCAGGGAAAGTGAAACGTCTTGGCGCGCGAGGAGGAGGTTCATACTCGTGTAAGTGAAGATGCGAGTGTGATTGTGATGATTTTTGGGGACCTGGCGGACACTGTCTCTCTCTCTCTCTGCCGCGCGTGTTTTTTGCAGATGCATCAGGCACCGAGTTGTTAGAATGCGGTAACCCGAGTTCCTCTATGTTTTCCAGGATCGGGCCGGATTGCTTGTTGGCCAAATTCATTGCCTGATCGGGGGGCCGGTTGGCGACGCGCGTGGGTGAGCGATATATTTGCCGTCGGGGTTGCGTGTGTTGCTGGTTCATTCGGCCGTTGTTCTGATTTCCAGGCGAAGTCTTGGCACACCGCTCCGTGCCACCCTCCCCCCCCAAAGAAAACGACGCGCTAAGCTTTACGTAGCTCTACGTCAGGAGGCCCGGGGGGGGGGCTGGCCGCTGTTCGTTGTTGCTGCGTCGTGGGACGGCGGCGGAGGTGGAGTTGAGCAGGAGGAGGAGGAGGAGGAGGAGGAGGGAGACGCGGCCGGGTCGATTTGAACAAGAGGGAGAGGAGGAGTTTGGCTGCGGGCGCCGACAGTCGAAATTGCGCACCCGCTCCGGTATTCTGGGATCTGGACCACACTTTTACGTTACGTACCGCGGTTACGAAAACGACGCTCAAGCGAGAGGGATCACGAGCGAGCGACAGGTCGACGAGGCAGGGGTCGTTATTGTGCCATGTGGTCGTCGATTCGGCCGTGAAAAAAAAAAGAGAAACCAAACCAAACCAAACCAAACAATCTGCGCCGGGGCGGGACGGGGGAGGAGGGAAATCGACGTCTCAAACGTGGCAGGCCACTCCCCCAAAATAGACGTTACCTTACCACCAGCGCTGCCGGATTAAGATCTGTAGCTCTGATGGCGATTCTCGTGCGCGCGCATCAGTGTCGCAAAGAGTTACATCCCGCTGTCTTCTGTCCCTGAGATGATGTTAAGACAATGATGTTCGGGCTATTTCGGAACCTCCCTTCTGCAAAGTCTCGAGAAAATGGTGAAATTCTGTCAAACATCAACAGGGTCCAGGCCGGTGGGAAGATACCATGTGCGATTTAGACATAATTAGAAGCGTCGCGGGAAGAACGCTGGCTTGCATGTGCTAGCAGCACCAGGCCCTAGGAACCTACTGTAAAGGTAGATAGATATCTGGGAACATGCTTCATCCTCTCAAGTGCCGTCCGTTCCCATTCCAGTCCTGACGGGGTGAAATGTTAGTGGTATGGGGCCCTTTTTTCTGCTTGAGTCGCCCCGAAACACGACGGAGCCGGCGCGGTAAGGCAGGCATCCCACGCAGAGAGACGGAGTCGCGTTGCCGGGTACCTTTACCTTGTGAATCCCATGTTGCGGATTGAATGTGAACGTGTGATATGCACAATCATAGAGACTGAGCGTAAGTTTGATACCTCCCCGTCTCTTCTCCTCTCTCCCTCGCGTTCCGCTCCGTCCGAAGGACGACGAAAAAAAAAGCTTCCTGACAGTCGGGTCTCCCGTGTTTTCTTCCAATTCCAATTCTAGAAAAAGGTTCTCCTCCCCCGTCCACTGAGAGGATTCGGCTTTCATGTCCCGGCGGCGGGCAGCCAGCCCACCGACCCCTGCACTCCTGGGCCAGCGGGCGCGGGCGTGAAATTTTGGGTCCCGTTGGAGGTTTGAGCCATATATTGCTTGTGTATCTAGTTGGAGTAGGAGCCGTGCCAATGGTTTAATGGTAACACATGGGCAGTACCTTGAGGTAAGGCAAGGTACGGTAGCGATGGCGGCGGCGGCGGCGGCGTTTCTCCCACGGACTTTCCGCTCTCTGTCCGCTCCTGGCCCTGACGCCCCCCGCGGGAGAATGATACGTGATACACCGATCTGGAAAGAGTGAGAGATGAGGTCAGGCACGGTGTACGTGCGCGCATGGTTGACGAGGCGTGTAGTAAAAGTAGTAGTAAGTCAGTGTAAGCCAGGGTAAGACGGCACTGGCAATGGCAATGGCTGGACATGCTTCCAGGTCAGCGAATCGACACACGGTGTGCCGGTCTACCGGGGTTTTCTTTTAAACTGCAGCGGCTCGGTGTCCCGAAGTGGTAACTGAGCAGGTGAGGATCTACATTTCTTGGATGGAAGACCTGGGAACTTTCCCACCCGCCAGCTTTGTGTTAGCAAGTCGGGTCATCAGCAATGTCATCTCGTGTATTTCCCGCGCTGTTTCGGTAGGCGGATGGGAGTTGGCGGGCGTTGTGTTGTCTCATGGTGAAGCTCAGTGGAATGTAGGTATCGATACCTTTGCCGTGATGGCTGCTCAGAGCTGTACGGAGGTAGCCAGACCTGCGGCATGTCGAGAGTCTTTTTTTCCTCAAACATGACAAGCCGACTGGCCCAGCGCGGTCTCCATTTCCCCAGTTTCCAGGCTGTGCACAGCAATCCAATGTGTGCAAGTGTGCTGCTGCTCCCTTCCATCAGAGAACAAGGATGGCTCCCTCCCGTTCCCCGCCCGGTCGTATTGTTTGACCTCTTAATTTCACATTTTACCAGCGCGGCCTCCACGACGAGCGAGGGTTGTCCCGTTGTTTTGTTCTCTGGGCCGCCGTCCGTCCTGCCGTGGTGCCGATTCTCGAAGTCCTCGGGTTCCAGCCTGGGCGAATCTTGGATTCTCACAAGGCAAGATGTCGTAGGGCTGTCAGCTCGTCTCTTGTGCCTCGGTCCTTTACCTAACGAGATTTCGAGTCGTATTAGTCTTCTGGGTTCTCGGAATCATAAACGACGTCGTCGCGCCACCCCCGTAGTGATGGACTACCTCTCGACATTGGCGGGAATCTTGTTTTGGACATAGATATTTGCGACATTTATTCCGTCTTTGGCTTGGCTTGGCACGAAATTAAGAGCAGCGAAGGGGGCAGGCTGTGGAGGGAAATAAAAAGTCAAAAAACGAAAAGGCGCATCGTCAGTGTTGCTCCGCCCGGCGCACCAGGCGAGGCGAGACGACTTGGATCAACGTCTTACACCGGCGCGCTTCTTCAACGGCAAAGGAAAAAAGGACAAGGGCAACGAGAGCGAGAAAGAGAGAGGGTGATGAGAGACAGACATCGACACACAGCCCCCGAGTCTAGCCCGTCCAGTCTGGTAGTCGGTTTAGTGTCACCTGGGTGGCCCCCACTGGCATCTCTTGGTAGTTGTCTAACACGCAGTAAGGGCCTTGGTCTTGGATCTTAATTCTGGTATCCGTCCTGGGCTGCATCGAGGTGCATGATCAAGGTACGAATATTCGTACATGTGGTTCATGGAACTTGGTTACCTAACCCTACCACTACCACGCTTTTTCTCACCACGCACTCTCACATCACCTACCTTACCTTACCTTAGGTACCTACCTAGCTCACATCGCGCTAGGCTAAGGTTAGCTTTAGAGCTGTGAGAGCTGCAGCGGACGTTATCCAATGGCCCCCCCAAATTGAGATTGAGCTTCTCTCAGATTCAAGAGTCGAGAGTCAAGAAGTGAAGAGCGCCCTCCTCGGGTTCCGTCTGTCCAAGCTTTTTTAGGCTCCCTCCCTTCCCGACGAACGAAAAAGGACGCCGGGTCCCCTCCCACCCCCGGCCCCATCCGTTTAGTGGAACTTCCTCCGCCCTTGCTGCTTGCTGCTCCTCTCTGTCTGTCTGAGTCTCTTCTGCATCTCACTCTCTTACACACCCGCTCACACACAGCTTTCCCACATAGCTTTTCCCTCTCTCATACTCAACTCATTACCCTTACACTCACACATTCACAGCTCTTCCTCTTAGTCTCACACAGTCCTCAAGGGGCCTGCCGCTGCCAGGTGGAAACACGGCACCGGTCCCGCCCCTGTTATTGGACAATTCCACGCCTTCTTCGCCTTAAGCTACGCCCGCCGCCTCGTCCTCATCGGCGGCATCCAACAACAGCTGGTGCTGTCAGTGCCGCATATCCTGTGTTGGTGTGTGTTCCTCCTCACTCTCACTCTCAGTCTCACCCTCATCCTCACCCTCACCTCACCTTATTTCTTCCCGTCCTTTCTCGCTTTCGCCCTGTGAGTCCTCTCTCCACCCCAGTCCCGGTCCTGGCCCCGTCCGTCTCCGTCCCCCTCTCCACGTCCCTCCAGTCCTCCCCCGTACAAATCTCATTCCAAACTCCCAATTCCAACCCTCCTCCCCTCTCACCTCACCCCCCGTTTTCTTGGCTCTGCGGCCTTGTCGCCTTCCCCTCGATCAACAATTCTCTCGTTCCTCTTTCGTTCGAAGCTTTGCTCCAGTCAAGTCAAGCTCCAGCTTCCGCCGTTACCTGAGGCATTCCTCGCCTGGCCTCTCATTGCACACTGCCCACAGCCCACTCACTCACTCACTCACTACCTACCTACCTACCTTACCCTCCCAGTCCCAGGCCTGCTGGGGTCGCCACTGCACCTCTTAAGGTCCTGCTTCGCCATGAACTAACCAACTTCCAGATTCCAGATCTTCCTTTTTACCTTCCAAGGCTTTTTAGCCTTCAACCCTCTTCACCCATATACCCATCTCACACTTCAACTTCCATCGCACCCGTCTCTTTGTGTACTTTTCTTGCCGGGGGAGGGCCGCAGCAGAAACAGACCAAAAAAGGAAACACACACACACACAAACAAACACCTCGCGACTCCAACCAAGTTCGTGAGACCCTTCACACACACATCTCTCGCCGGTGACCTTCTCGCCATGGCGCATGCCCAGGATTCCCAAGAACCCCATAAACGGAAACGGGACGCAGACGACAGCGGCAGCCAGCCGGCTCATTCTGATCGCATTCCCCAGCCTCCTCCGCCTCAGTCAGGTATGTGCGGTGCGCCAGTGTGTGTGATCCAATGCCGAACTCTCCAACAACAACAAGTCCGAGAACAAGACACGCGGAAAACATGAGCCGTCGATCTCATCCATCAACTGCATCTTGTCGTCGCGCCCGGAGGCAATCGAGGTTAGACTCGCCATTGATCCCTCGCCTAGGCCTGCCTGCCAGCGCCGCCCGCACTTGTTATTCCCTCCCATCAGTCTTCTCCCTTCGTCTCCATCTGCATCCCAACGGTCCTCACCAAGTCTTCATCAACCGCTCGATCCGAGGGGCCCTTGGTGTTGGTTTGACTCGGCTGCCATGCATTTCGACCCCCCGTCGTCGGCTCACACTCGCGCGTAAAGCACACACGTGTAAAAAGCAAGCACACTAACATTGACCAAGGCAATTCTTCCATCATCAACTATCTCTCCAAAGCCAGTCCCGGCAAGCTCAGGCTCATCCAGGGCGAGCCTGACACTTTTTCCGATGTTCTCGGCCTATTGAATCAGTATGAAGGTACGGCTTGCCCTGGTCCTGATTCGTGTTATTGAATGCCAAGACTCAATTTTATATAGGGGTTCTCAACAGACACGAGAGTCTCGCCGCCAATTTGGGCGCCAAATTGACGGGCCCTCGCCTCCTCAAGGCCATGGAAGGCGCCTTCGAGGGTCCCATCATCACCAATCCGCCGACCGCCTACGGCGCAGCACCCGTGAGCTGGATCGACATTGTCTCCTTCGCCAAGACCAACCCGGAGAAGTTTGTCCTCACCACCGGTCATGACGGCGAGCGCACGTGTCAGTTTTACTTGGGCGGAGTGCAGGTCCAGATCTTGGAGGACGACTGGCGTCTCATCATGAACGGCGCGCTAGACAGGTTTTCCATCGTCTCAACGGCCCCTCTGGAAGAGGACGAGACGGCAGAGGTGGCTACTCTGGAAATCGTGGAGCAGCGGCTGCAGGTGCTCATCAAGAAAGCCGATGAAATCGCCAAGAGGGCGCGCCAACTCAACTATCATCTGAGCGGTCGGAAAGCTGGCATCAACTCGCGCCATGGTGGCCAACAACCGGGGGGCTCTACGTTTCCATCCGTCAATCATCCCCAGCGCCACGTCGGCAGCCACGGCTCTGGCTACGACCTCCATGCAGACCTTCTTCAGCAATTCGTCTCGTCCTCCTCCCAGGGCTATCCTCCCCGGGCTCCGTCCAACGCCGGCCTCGAAATCCATTCTGGTCAACACACACCGCCCGCTACAAATCCTCACCCACATTCGCTCCCTCTCCAAGGTCGCCCTGTTGTCGCAACACATGCGCCCGTAATACCGCAGCGGGACTCATCATACGACCCCTCGTCAGCACACAGAGGTATCATCACCGCACGCATCGAGAAGTTGAGTAAGGGGGATCAGATCTGGCCTCCGTGCGATCGCTGCCGTCGGCTCAAGTCACCTTGCGTGAAGCACCTGACGGCTTGTCAAGGTTGCACCAAGAAACACGCGAAATGCGGATGGAAAACCATCACCGAAGAAGAAATCGCCTGGCTCAACCGCGACGCTAGCAGCAGTGCCGACGAGGCACATATGGAGCCAAACCCAACAAACCCTCCACCGCGGGGGACATTACGATACGACCCTACTCAAGACGACGGCCGATCCAATGAGGAACCGCCACCGTCGGCCAGTCTGATGCCGGGGGAGATTTCTCGACCGGCCAGCCGAGGCCAGCAGAGCCACCAAAGTCACCAGAGCCACCAGAGTCATCAAAGCCAGCCGGGGCACCGTCAGCGATCGCCTATGGAACCCGGCTCTCGTAGTCGAACGAGTAGTTTCATGGACGTCGAACACGAGCCGCCGCCCAGCCTCAAGCCGTGGATGCCAGAGCCGAATCGAGGAGATCAGCTTCCTCCTTTGAAGAGGGACCATCTGTTGCTGAGCCACATGGCATCAGCTGCCACGGCGGCAGCAGATGCCCGAGATGCCAGCGGGACGCCAGCAGGTAATCTTGCTGGGCGGTAGCCGACATGGCAGATTGCGCAGATGTGTTTTTGCGCTAGAACGAGTGTATGAGCCCGCAACTTCAGCATCGCATACGAATTTTATGTGAGAGAGAGAGACAGACCAAGGAATCGAACGAGTGTGTCATGTGTGTGGTGTGTCGACGTGCGTATGTGCGAAGTGCGAAGTGCGAACAGAGAAGAAAAAGAACATAGCAGATACTCATAATGATACTCAATGAGCCATTCTTACATTTAAATCTCTGTGCTTATAACTTCGGTTTGCAAACTGTTCTACGTTATCCAGCAACCTGGAAGGTATCGAACGGCGCAGCCCAGCACTGACGACAGGGGGCGGCAATCGATGACCAACGACGTTGAACGGGGAGAAAGCCACAGGGAAAACGTGGATCTCCGCACGGACCATTTCGACCCCGTTCAAAGTGGATCACGTCAAATCTGAGCGTGGCGCGTTTTTACTTATCGATGTCAGTGAAAAAAAAAAGTTCCCAGCTCCATCAATGACGGGCTCTGGTTCTGCAGCTCCCTCATCCACCGCCCAACTCCTATCTACGACATGACCTCGACGTGACGGTCCCCCATTGTCGCCCTCCCTCCCGTTCATTCCATCCTTCGATATCGATTGCGATCTGGTTTCTCGTCGTATTACCGTCCGGCTTTCCATCCCCTCAGTCGAAAGCTGGTCGTCCGCTCTCCATCGCCTCGATCGCCACCTCGCTCTAGATGGCCCATTCTTCCGTGCCCGCCGAATTCATGTCTGCAACAGGCGACCGGCCGGCCGCGCGCCGCGCCCCGGATACGACATCGTACCCGACATCTAGAGAAACGGGCGACGTGATCCCCGACACAAAACAGAACCCCTCGGTGAATGGGAAAGAATCACCATTCGCCAAGTCATGGGTACATTTCGTCGCTGGCGGGTATGTCTGACGGCCTCCTTGAAGCGAAAAAAGATTGCATCACGGTATGCTGATCAAAGGTTCTCCGTGAATGTAGCGTCGGAGGAATGACAGCAGCGACCCTCACGGCACCCCTCGACGTCCTCAAGACCCGCCTCCAGTCCGACTTCTACCAGGCCCAGCTCCGCGCCTCCCACCAGGCCCGCGCCCAGGCCGTCGGCACCCTCAGCCCCCTCCGCGCCGCCGCCTTCCACCTCCGCGAGACCTTCCAGATCCTCGGCTCCGTCTACAAGATGGAGGGGCCCCGCGCCCTCTTCAAGGGCCTCGGCCCCAACCTCGTCGGCGTCATCCCCGCGAGGAGCATCAACTTCTACACCTACGGCAACGGCAAGCGCCTCATCGCCGAGTACGGCAACGGCGGCCAGGAGTCCGCCTGGGTCCACCTCTCGGCCGGCGTCGTCGCCGGCGTCACCACCAGCACCGCCACCAACCCCATCTGGCTCGTCAAGACCCGCCTGCAGCTCGACAAGAACGTCGCCGAGAAGAGCGGCGGCGTCCGCCAGCGCCAGTACCGCAACAGCCTCGACTGCATCCGCCAGGTCCTCCGCACCGAGGGCTTCACCGGCCTCTACAAGGGCATGAGCGCCAGCTACCTCGGCGTCGCCGAGAGCACCCTCCAGTGGGTGCTGTACGAGCAGATCAAGAACGAGCTGGCCAGGAGGGAGGAGCGCATCGTCCGGAGCGGCCGGGAGAAGAGCTTTTGGGACCGCACCGTCGACTGGATGGGCAACGCCGGTGCCGCGGGCGGTGCCAAGTTGGTCGCGGCCATCTTGGCGTATCCCCACGAGGTTCGTTCTTGACTCCCTCAGAGAGGAATGAGAAACGGGATTCGAACAAGTAGCTAACGTGAAGGAAAAATAGGTCGCGCGAACCAGATTACGACAGGCGCCCCTGGCCAACGGCCAGCTCAAGTACACCGGCCTGATCCAGTGCTTCCGCCTCGTGTGGGTCGAGGAGGGCTTCATGGGTCTCTACGGCGGTCTCACCCCTCACCTCATGCGTACGGTACCCAGCGCCGCCATCATGTTCGGCATGTACGAGGGTATCCTTCGCCTCTTCAACACGCCGTCCAAGACCGGCACGACCGTGTAAGAACCCGAGAAAAAAAAAAAAAAAAAAAAAAAAAACCGAAAAAAGCAACGACATATACACCACAAAAAACCGGCAGATCCAAGCAACGGCGGCGGTTCTCTTGGATGTCACCTTTTTCTTGTACTATAAATCCCCCTACGAACCGACGAGCGCACGACTGCGGAAACTTTTGGGAGGGGGAACGGACACACTACGCTCACGCTTTCCACGCTCTCACGCTCAACGCAATCCCTCCTCCTCAACCCCGGGCATATCGACACGCCAAAAAACTTCTCTTCTCACTACTTTTAGTCTTTTGTTTGACGAGGATACTCGAACAGCCACCACTACCAACTACCACGTTACAGCGGATGTACGATACGGAGCGAAGCGGGAACCTATAGAACTTTGTGTGTAAGGCTTCGAACGAAAAACAGGGGCGGGTCTATCTGCGGGAATAACGCAGAAAAATGTAAATGGAGCCCCTTTTGGAGAGAAGGAGAGGAGAAATGTCGGCAGCATCTTAATGGCGTTAATTCTTTCATGCGGGAGGGGGGGCGTCGTCATGTACAAAAATCCCAAAACAGAAAACAACACATACACAAACACTCACACCATACCTCAAGACACCTGATGAGGGAAGGAGGGCTTGGGTGTCTTTTGACTTGACGAAGATGACGAAGAAGAGGGGGTAGGGGAGAACACCCGAAAATCTGTGTACCAATAATGTATATAAAAACAGGCAGAGGTGTATAAAGAGGGGAAAAAAAATCAACTCTCATGAGAAAAGACGACGAACGAGGCTCGGGACTTTTCCGTTTTGAGGTGACGTCGGGGCGACGTGGAACAGTGTAGCTTCAACTCAGGCTCAAACCTGCGTCTTGGTTCCCCATGCATCAATTCAAAAAAGTAGTCACTTCCTGTTTTCCTCTTGGGAATTGGCTGGCCCCTTTTAATTCACTTAGATATGAAGTCGAACCGAGACGAGGTGTCCGAGTCTAGATTCGGGTTCTAGTATGTGACGTCACCTTTTGGAGGCTCGCTTTGTGAGAAGCCAAAGATGTCAATTTTTGTAATGCCAATAGCCCTCTCCATGGAAGAACGAGTAACGCTGATTGATGCTGTCCGCCTTCGGCGGATGTTTGTTTTTCGTCAAGCTCGGCGCGTTGGGGGGAAATCAAGCTATGGATGTGTTGAGCGGACGACGCAACAAAACAACACAAGCATAAAAGGTAAAACAGCTACTAGTTATTGGGATATGGAAACTTGATACGAAACGAGGAAAAAATAACAAGGGAGGAAAAAAAACAACGGCCACCGCTAGACACCGGCCCCGCCCTGCTCAATCGTGTCAAATCATGTCCTTCTTCTCTGCGCTGCTCATCATCCAAACACCGGGATTTTCTTCGTCAAGGGGCGTTCACTTCTCTTTTGTCCTCTCTCCATCCTTTTTTCAAAGACTTTCAAAACTCTGGTTCCCTTTCCCACCGAGCCTGGAACTCTTTGCCAGTCCCTCGAGCTGTGTGTCGGTGCGATGGTGCTTGGGCGGTCGTTTGCGCAGTTTGTTTGGTGTCCGCGAGGCCGACGATGCAAAAGTGTTGGGCAAGCTGGCTCGGAGCCTCAGTCACCACGCATTACGGTCCCAGTTGGGGTCTGGTAACTTGCTGTTAGCTGCCGGGGTTTCTTCAACTTTCCACCTCTGCTGTCTCCCAACCGCAACCGGCGCCATCTTGGCCGTTGGGAGACATGTGATGACAAGGAAGACGTGACGGCCAAAGAAAAGAGCTCACCTTGCACGAAAGCAGCCAGGACTTTGCTGCCCGTCTGCAGGAGCGGGTGGCCGACGACGATGCGCAGGAACTTCTCGAGGCCGGCGCGGCGGCCCTCGATGACGTCGTCGCTGAAGCGGTTCGTGAAGACCTTGCCGGGGAGAGGAGGGATGGTGACGCGGGCGCTCTCACGCTCGAGGATGTCGCGGAAGTACTCGAAGTCGGAGTAGCGGCGGCGGACGCTGGAGGCGCGGAGCTTGAAGGCGGGGATGTTTGTGCGGCAGACGATCTCGTAGTCGGTATACATGCCGCGACCCATACCGTGGGTTCGGGGGTTGCGGACCTGTGCGGGAGGGACGAGTTAGATAGTCAGTCATGGGCAATGTTTCCATTGCTGCGCCGGGCCACGAGAGGCGTTAAGCTCCATCGCACCGGTGGTCGTGGAGTGCGATTTGTGTTTGCTAGAAGGCCATGCTTACCTCGATCTCGAGGAAGTTCTCGGGAGGCCCGTAGATCTCGTCAAACGACTGCTGTCGCGTATCCGGCATCGCCTGCATGATGGGCCGATGGAAGCGCGGCGAGGCCTGGCTGCCCGCCTGCGAACCGGTCGGTGATGTGGGAGAGGTGGGGGAGGTGGGCTCAGCGCCGGCAGCGCGAGCTGTGTTCTGGGCGCCGGAATCCGTTTTGACGGCTTCTCGGGGGTGTCGACGAAAAGATCGAGGGGTTTTCTTTTGAGCTCGGTAGCCTCGTCGACGGCTGACGTCGGCGCGATATCGGGTTCGGCTGCGAAGGTTTCTCGATTGACTTTGTGGGAAGATAGGGATTGCCGAGTCGTTCGCGACTCTCGGTTCGTGTGGTCTTGAGGGCGCGGTTGAGGTGAAGTTGCAGTTACGGAAAAAAAAAGTCGAGGTGTGAGGAGGTGGGGGAATGGTGCGAAGGTAGCCGATTACGATAGAAGAACTTCGGGTGGTGTTTAGCTACGAATTGCGGGGGAGCAGCAATCACGTCCAAGCCCAACGTACCTTACCCGGCCGCTGTCCGGCGATTACATGGAAGGACCAGGCAGGGTAAGACGAGAGAGGCTGAGCCGATGTCTGTGGGGGGCTGGACTGAGCGCCGCCCGATCCAGCAGGTGGGGGTGTGCCGGGAATGCTCGTGGGATCTAGCCGATCTGGACCTCATCTCGTCCATGTTTGCTGAACAAGACTAACAATCACTATCCCCCAGCAGAATTCACTACTTTGTTTTTGTCCTTGTCACTTTCAGTTCTATTGAAGCCACTGTTGAAGCCAGGCAAATATTGTATTCTGGCTTGTTCTGATTATGTATTGCGGTCGTGCCTTCACCTCGCATACCAAGCTGTTACCATCCTTCACCGAAACCCGATAAATAGGTACAGAACTTGCTTACTACATCATACAATTCGATGCCGTGACTCTGAAATAATCTGCCAGCGGGGCATCGCCATCCCAAAGTGTTCAGACCATTTAGGGGTGTTATGCGCGAGACCAGATGTTCAGAAGCAGGTGCTGGTGCATCGTATAAGTCCCATGAAGAAAGCAACCAATAAACGCCGATTTTCTCACCTCCGAACCGTTTCTTCCGTCGCCCATATACAAAGGTGGTCGCATTGACCTCGACCATTTTTGGTGCTTTAAAGCAGCCGCCACGACCCGAATTATCGCGGATGGGGCTCACCCTCTGCTACATTTGCTGATCGGCGGCAGTCGCATATATGGCGGCATGGGTTGGCGTCTGAGCCTCTGAGCCGTGGTGAGATTACACAGCAGATGATAAACCGCGCGCCGGAGTGTAGAGTATGTCACCGGAATAGACCAGATCGTTACTTCTTGTCGGCAAATCTTTGGTGGATTGCACGGATCTGCTCTTCCACGTTTAGGCTGTGCAGATGGTTAATGTGCGCCTGGCTCTTGCCGTCAGGGTTTCCATCGAAACTATGGATGGCCGCCTTTTTCCGACGAGCAGCCTCTTCTTCCGAAAGAGGCTGGCCTGTGATGCCATCGAACACATCACTTCGTTGACTTGCCAATCGCTTCAGGTTGTTGGCGACGTCCGCGGTGGATAAGTTGGTGGTGGCATAACGCGCCTCGGCCTTGGCTCTTTGGTCCTTCCATTGAGGGTCTAGGAGCTCGACTGCATCATTTATTAGCATACTCGGTAATGTTGAGAACAAGTAAAATGGAGAATAGCTTACTTCGCATGTGCTCGTCCAGCTCATTCATGGGAATCTGCTGCTTGCAGTTGGGACATAACGCTGTCTGGACACTCTGTTTGTTGGCGGCGCGCTGAAGGGCCCTCGGTACGTAGTTCTCCTTAATCTTCATCGGAGCAGTACCACCACGAGCCTCAGCTCGCGCCTGTTGCTCGCGGGCACGCGCCTCTGATCTCTCTTGGATCCTCCGCTCCTCTTCCTCTTCCTCTGCTGTCCTCCGTGGCGGACCATTACCGTATGGTTGAGGCGCTGCTGGCTGGTACTGCTGCTGCTGGGGCGCATATCCCGTGTGGACAGGCAGAGTGTGAGAAGTCTGGGCGTATGCGTTGTACGACGAGTCTTCTTCACCCGGGAAAGCTTCCTCGATGCGGAGGTTAGAGCTGATGGACGCCTTGTTCCTCTCTTCAAGCGACGCATATTGCAGATCGTTCAGGTTCGTCGGGGGTGGCAGGTTCGCGTGCTCGTCGGCGTCAGTGAAGACAATGGTCTCCACAACCACGAAATCGTTCCAGTCGATGCGGGCAAAATCCATTCGCTTCTTCTCATCGTCTTCCTCCTTCTTTTGCTTCTCTGATTCCTGGAACTTGGAGTACTCGGCGCGTTGCTTCGCACGGCTCAACACGTGGTACTTGTCCTTGACGTTGTGCTCGAGTTGTGCAATACGCTCCTGCTCCAACTTTCCTCCTTCGCCGCCAAGTCCGCTGGCCCTCAATAACGCCGTATACTGATCGACCTGATGTTGAAAGAAGTTGTGGAACGTGTGATTGGGGATGAGGAACTGGAATTGCGGGTTTCCAGCCTCGCGCTGAGCAAGCTGTGTCATGAACTGGCGGCCATTCTTGGCAACGAAAAGCGCGGCCAAGCGGATGACCTCAAGATCCTTCTGATTGATTCGAGGCATTCGAGCGGAGAACTGAAAGTCGGGGGGCTTCGGCGGGCCTTGAGGCTTCTGTTCGGCGGGAGCGGCTTCGTTGGCGCGTCCCGCGGCGATGGCTGTGCCGCGGCCTGCCTTGATTTCATCGAGTCGCCATTGGTAGTAGGCGTGGTAGGCGTCCGTGCTGTTCAGAAAGCTGAACTTTGGGTTAGAGCGTTCCTTGTCGCGAATTCTGTCTTCGAAAACCAGACCGTTTCGCGCGACGTAGCCAGCCGTCTTCTCCAGCACATTGCGGATTTCGCGAGGAGGAAGAACAACTCCTTCGGGATGCTTCAGGTCATCGAGTGCGGCGGAGGCATCGCCGTTTGTCGCAGGCGTGGCCATGTTGTGGTTGAAGGTGCGCGCCGTCGGAGTGATGTCGTGAGGATGCGGCGCGTGGAGCTTTGGGGGATGTCGAACGGAGGACAAAGCTGTCTTGCGCCTTCGTACTTTTTTCGGAGACGCCAAGGCAATCTGGGCTCCAGACGGTTGGCGCGATGTCTTAGTCAGCACGACGAGTCAAGTCAGCACGGGCCACAGTCCGCTTTCTTCAGCTGCAACTTCCATATTCAGGATACCCGGGTATTGCAGCAACTTTCCAATTGGAAATTTAGATGCTATTTCGAAAAGAATTGCGTCTTGGTTCACCTCATTCTGAAGGTTCTCCCACTGTATCTTTCTCACTGATTGAAGTATGGTATGGAGTGCTGGCTTCATTTAGATGAAGTTGAGCGCTACCTGAGTCTGGCTCTTGTTGGACACAATTGCCATAGCGATTCCTCACATTAGTTGCTTCCGGCGGAAAATGTCTTAGCAAGATCTGTGGTCAGATGGGGGTCTCCTCAACCATTTGCATTGTGAGTTCTAAGATGAGCCCTGCTCGTTCTTTGGCAGCTCTGTTTCCATCACTAGCGACTGCCCCTATTTGTAACTTTCGGTTAACCCCCCCTTACGACACAGCAAGAGAAATTTGCACACCTTCTCGCCCACGTTAGGTTGAATCCAACGAATCTTCACATAGGCTGACACGTAGTTGTGGACAGATATCTATGAAGGCCGAGATGCGGGCCAAGGGAGAAGGATCGTTTGTGCTGGTAGAAAAACAAAGAATGAAGGGAGCCAGGCCGTTGCGATCAAGTCCATCCTCTAATACGTGCCTTGGCGGAGTGCTTGAGGAGCTAGCAACGAGCCATCTAGGTGAATCGGCCACGGCCAAAGGCTTGCGTGGAATACCATGATCAAGTCTGAGAGATGACATAAGCAGCACACAGCCTAGGACTTACGACAGTAGCTACTTCGAATAAGTTGATGAGGCCCCGAGATGCATGAAGGATGCGGAGCTCTTGCTGCACTCTGGAGAGGCAATCCAAGGTGTTGGTGTCGGAGGTACAGTGCTTACGTACACCAGTTGTCCTTTTTTTCCAATTGCTTCAGCCGCATCGCAGCAGTGCACTGGCCACATCCCATCCAAAGTGGGAATAGGAGGGTCCAGCGAAGACGTCCTCACAGAGCAGCTGGAGGACAGAGAGGAGACGTCTGACAGAGCGAGAACAATGGCAGCCACAGCAAGTCCTCCCGACGCCTACATTGACGCTAAAAGAGGGGGCTCGGATACTAGACAGGAGCTATGGCATCTCCTGTCAGCTTCTGAGTGCTCGTTGGAATGCAATCTGTATTCCCCAAATGGCCACCTGTCCAACCAGAACCAACACGACTTTCAGGATCAGCTCGGGGTTCCGGTGTCAGATGCCAATGCTACCTTGATGCCTTCACAAGCGAACCGCGTTAAACCGCGTTAAGTGATTCTCAGGTGGGAGCAAGCCCCCAGCGGATCAGTGGGGGCTGGCTCAATATAACGCGTCCCCGGGGATTCGCAGAAACCCGGGAACAAGAACATGGTACTCTGTAAAACTGCAGACCTACTTGAGATCTGGCCGTCGTCCTCAATGGATCTGGACACTTTCAGCTCTATGACAGCCCAGGGTAATTTTAGACACACTTCGCGCTTGCTGATGGTCCTCCCAAGAACAGGCCTTAAAAGGCAGACGCGAGCTCTGTAAACCAATGATGTGTCTCGTACACTGCATAAATGCGGGCCATTCATGGGGAATCGTGGAAGGAACTGCGAAGGGGGGGCGTGGAGGGTCTCCAAGGGGGGACCTCGAGAACCCTAGCTTCAACCAATTGTTTGCTGTCAGACCACATGGGACGGAGAGGCCACGGTGCATTCGACCCTCCCCTATCCTCCCTTCCAGCCTGTTCCTAGCCGTCCGTCATCAGCTTCCGCGGTCAAACTTTCCGTCGCCAGACCGGACAGTCCTTGACCACTTCTTTTTTCCCTGAACCTCCCTTTTTTGGTCTGTACACTCGACAAGAAACTATACAACTTCCCCTCGAGGGCATTCATCGAGGTCGCCCGTCAACCTGCCTTTGCACGAATGACGGCCTTTTAATGCTTGTCTTTTCTTCTCGACTTTCGTTGATTCCATTTCTCACAACCTTGTCCTCTTCTATCTTGCGAGCTATCGACCACTCCACCACCATCGTCGACTCCTACGTCGCCCACCATCGTCGCCTCTGAGCGGAACGAGCCTCCTATCCCCGACCCAGTCCCGCGCCGCCTTCTGTCCTCTGCGATCCGATAATCACCGGCGATGGCTGCCATCAAGGGCGTTCCGAGCCAAAAGCTCGAGAAGCCCGCCAATGGTGCAAACGGCACCCATGCCAATGGCAATGGCAAGGCCCCCGTCAAGCGCGAACAGAGCTACAAATCGGAGGGCGTCGAGGACAATGATGTCTTCCTCTTGCCCATCTCAGACTACCAGATCATGCTGGTTCTCACCGTCGTTGCTGCTGCCGTGCGCCTGTTCCGAATCTACCAGCCCACCAGTGTCGTCTTCGACGAGGTCCAGTAAGTCCATCTCCTGAACCGCTCATGGTTTCCTCTCTCTAATTCCCTCGCTCCAGCTTCGGTGGCTTCGCTTCGAAATACATCAAGGGCAAGTTCTTCATGGACGTTCACCCTCCTCTGGCCAAGATGCTCATCGCTCTGACCGGTTGGTTGGCTGGCTTCAATGGCGACTTCGACTTCAAGGAGATTGGCAAGGACTACCTCGAGCCTGGCGTTCCCTACGTCGCCATGCGAATGTTCCCCGCCATCTGCGGCATTCTCCTCGCCCCTCTCATGTTCCTGACATTGAAGACCACCGGATGCCGAACCACGACTGCTCTGTTGGGTTCCGGCTTGATCATCTTCGGTAAGCCACGCGTCCCCTATGACACTTCCCAACGCAACACTAACACGGCCATCCAGAGAACGGTCTCCTTACTCAGGCTCGCCTGATTCTGCTTGACTCTCCGCTCATGGTCGCGACCGCATTCACCGCTCTCGCCTTCCAATCCTTCACGAACCAGCACGAACAGGGTCCTGAGAAGGCCTTCCAGTTGAGCTGGTGGTTCTGGCTCATCATGACGGGTCTCGGTCTCGGTGTTACTTTCAGCATCAAGTGGGTTGGTCTGTTCACCATTGCCTGGGTTGGAAGCTTGACCCTGATCCAACTCTGGGTTCTCCTCGGCGACACCAAGAACGTCACACCGGTATGTCATCCTTCTGGCCTGGTAACTAATAGACCATCGCAGCTAACAAGAAAACCAGCGCATTTGGGCCAAGCACTTCATGGCTCGCGCCTTCTCTCTTATTATCATCCCTTGGACTTTCTACATGGCCATGTTTGCCATTCACTTCCTCTGCCTCGTTAACCCGGGCGACGGTGATGGATTCATGAGCTCCGAGTTCCAGTCCACCCTTAACTCCAAGGGCATGCAGGATGTCCCGGCCGACGTTGCCTTCGGCAGCCGCGTCAGCATCAGACACGTCAACACTCAGGGCGGCTACCTTCACTCTCACCCCCTGATGTACCCCACGGGTAGCAAGCAGCAGCAAATTACCCTGTACCCCCATAAGGACGAGAACAACGTTTGGCTTCTTGAGAACCAGACCCAGCCCCTCGGCGTCAATGGCGAGCAGATCAATGGAACTCTGGCTTGGGACAACCTCCCTCAGCCCGTACACATCAAGGACGGCGACGTCATCCGCCTGTACCACCTGCCTACCTTCCGCCGCCTTCACTCTCACGATGTCCGCCCCCCTGTCACGGAAGCTGACTGGCAAAACGAGGTTTCGGCCTACGGTTACGAAGGCTTCGAGGGTGATGCCAACGATTTGTTCAAGATCGAGATCGTCAAGAAGCAATCGCTGACATCCGCGGCCAAGGAGCGCGTTCGCACGATTGAGACCAAGTTCAGACTCGTCCACATCATGACCGGCTGTGTTCTCTTCTCCCACAAGGTGAAGCTCCCTGACTGGGCGTCCGAGCAGCAGGAAGTCACATGCGCGAGAGGTGGTACTCTGCCCAACAGTCTGTGGTACGTCGAGTACAACGAGCACCCTCAATTGACTGGCGAGAACGTGGAGAAGGTCAACTACCGCCACCCTGGCTTCTTTGGCAAGTTCTGGGAGCTGCAGAAGGTTATGTGGAAGACCAACGCCGGCCTGGTTGAATCTCATGCCTGGGACTCTCGCCCTCCCTCTTGGCCCGTCCTCAAGCGCGGCATCAACTTCTGGGGCAAGAACAACCGCCAGATCTACTTGATGGGCAACCCCATTGTGTGGTGGAGCTCTACCCTGGCCATCGTCGCCTACGTTCTCTTCAAGGGCATTGCAACTCTCCGCTGGCAGCGCAGCTGCAATGACTACAAGAACGTCACCTTCAAGCGTTTCGACTACGAGGTCGGTACAGCTGTTCTGGGCTGGGCGTTCCACTACTTCCCTTTCTACCTGATGGAGCGTCAGCTGTTCCTGCACCACTACTTCCCGGCCCTCTACTTCGGCGTGATGGCGCTCTGCTCCGTCTTCGACTTTGCCACTGCTCGCATTTCATTCGCCGGTATTAGGAACAACCCGATCATCAACCGCGCCAGCGCCGTGGCTTTCCTGGCCCTCACCATTGCGGTTTTCATGCTCTTCTCTCCCCTGGCCTACGGCAACCCCTGGACCAAGGCCGAGTGCAACCGCGTTAAGTTGCTTAGCACCTGGGACTTTGACTGCAACACCTTCCTTGACGACGTAAGTAACGCTACTGCTGTTGTGCCGGAAAGAGGAATGCCCGAGAGAGGATTGTGATAGCCCGTATTGTCTCGCATGCATTATCACATGCAGAAAGACTTGTCTGGAGGGATTCATAGCCAATTGAGATGAGATTCGGCCCAACGTCAATGGGAATCGTGATGGTTGAATGAGGCTGACATGTTTTGCATCATAGTACTCTCAGTACACGGAGATCCTCACCCGCACCTCCGCTGCACCGACCCCGACTCCTGCCCAGTCCAAGGTTCCCGCCCCTCCCGTCGGCGGCGAGGTGGGACAAGTCCCGCTTCAAGACGCCCCAAAAGAGCAGCCCCCGGCGGCGGACGTGTCGGACGCGCCGGCCCAGAAGGTGCTCTCCCGGGAGGAGCGCGTGGAGTACCGGGACCAGGACGGCAACCTCCTCGACGAGGAGCAGGTCAAGGCCTTACAGGGCAAGGTCGAGTTCAAGACAAAATACGAGACGCGGACGCGCGTCGTCGACGCAAGTGGGAACGAAGTGCAGATGCCCGAAGGCGGATGGCCGCAAGAGCCTGGTCACGACCAAGGAGCCAACGTCGCGCCTCCTCACCCTGATGTCCAGGGCGTGGATCAGGAAACCAAGGCCAAGCCTGCCGACGAGGCGCAGGACTCCGTCGCGCCCGATGCCGCCGAGAGCGTCAAGGGCGCCAAGGAGGCCGAGCAGAAGAAGCCCAAGCCGGCGAGCGACGGCGGCAAGGAGGCGACGGCTCAGGAGGAGCTCTGAGTTCGGATGCGATATTCAGACGGAGTATAGAAAGACCGCCGCGCTCCCCGCGACGGATGATATGTCACGATAGGCGCCGTCGTCTCTCTGCCATCTACCCCAGAAATCTTACATTTCGAGGACGAGGTAAGGCAGGGGAGATTGGATGAGGAGCGCGAATATCAAGGGCACACAACTCAATGTACAACCAAGCCCAGCCTGGCGTCATGTAGAAGGAGAAGAAAAAAACGGGAGAGTTGGGTGGATGGATACCTAGGCGGCGGTAGGGAAAGGGTTATGAAGCCGAAATCTCATTTGTTGTAAGACCACACCACACACAATCACACATGCAAAGCAAATAACATGCCTGTCAATGTCAGAGTTCATTGATGGGCTCTTTCCTTTTTTTCTTCTTTTTCAAGTTTACAATAATACAGCTGTTTCTTTGCTGAAGAATGATGTGATTTCCCATTAGATACATCTGGTATATCTGCACACATGGGTGTATTTGAGAAGCAGTAGCTAGCACCGAGTAGGGCTTTCTGAGTAGTAGATGAGCATGTCATTTTGCAACATGCAAAGAGGTGAAGAGCTGATTAGTTCGAAGTTGCTTACAGATGTCGCGATGTATAGCCCCTTGATCAAGCTGTCCTATTGATTCAAGAGGACGTTATGAGTAGTAGACAAAGAATCTCAAGTCACTATGCATCAAGCAACAGTAGAGTATATCAAACTCAAAGGTATCATTGTGTCTCTGCCATTAAGCCTAGTGAAGCGGCCTCTAGTGCCTGTGTCCCTTCCCCCTTCGTCCCAGACTGTCTAGCGAATGCATGCCCTCCCAATGGTAGCTGTAGCTGTGACTGTAACTGTTGATTGTCCCTGCGCAAACACAGTTTTTGTTCTCCAAAACGCCATGCCAAGTGCAAGCAAATGATTTCCCTGAACCCTCCCCGGGCTTGGTAGCGTCCCAAATTCCCCGCGTACCCTCTCCCCTCCCATGCGGCCATCATTACAAGCCCTGGCTTGCATTTGACCTTCGTGGTATGCAGCCGGCATATTAATACAGTATCGAAAATTATGTTGTACGTCGTCAAATCGACTTTCTGTCGCTCGACTAGTTGCTCTGCAGTCGTCTCTCTGCTGGAGGAGGTTGAATATTACGTTTTTAGTCGGTTGCAGTGGCTGCAGGCTTTTCCTGGTTGTTGGGAATGCTCAGAGACAGACGCTTCTCCCCATCCTTCTCTTCACCAGCAGCCTTTTCTGGAGACAGGCTCTGTGTTGAGTTGCGGATACTTGGACTCGGGGTCTCGGGCCTGGCAAGCGGGGCTGCGAGGTCCTTCGGCGTCTCCGTATCATCCGACGTAGTCTCGTTTTCATTGAGCGTCTCCAAGACCTCCGGAATTGTTGCAGCTGGTTCTGCCTCTTCCTTTTCTGAAGAAACCTCTTGAACATCGTTGGCATCGCCGTCGTGACTCGGCCGAGGACTCTTCTCTAGTCCCGGCGCCACGGAATGGCTAGCGGGGACGACTCCACCGCCGATACGAGACCAGAACATCTGCTCCCGAAGGCGAACACTTTCCTCCCAAGCCGCCTTCTCCGCGTCCTCGTCATCCGCACGCCAGTGGCCATCCTTCAGGATGCGCAAGAAATTCAGGAAGTCGCAGGTGGATCTCACGCGTCCTAGGCAGTATTTGCAAAGGGGGTACCGCTGTGCTGAATCTGACTCGCTCGTCCGGAAACGATAAGTTCGCAGGTGCTCCTCGTCCTTACGCGAGTCACCGCACAGTGAGCAGGGATAGAATTGCGGCTTAACGATAGACGCAAAAGGTGCATTTGCAGGAATAGGCTCGACAACGATGGATCCGTCGCTCATGGCATTCAGAACGCTTCGGCGAGCGAGCCAGGAGAGACCGGGAGCAATATCCAATCGAAGTGTGGGCTCTACGTCCTCTGCCACGACGCGCTTGAAGAACTTCGTCTCCTTCAGTGCGGGTAGCGGTGGTCCAACGTTGGATGAAGCCGTGCTAGACACTGACGCGGGGGTGTTAGGTGTTTGCGGCGACGACGACGCAGGAGTTCCAGCAGTTGAGAGCGAGGCCGTTGAGGCGTTGGAAGGGTGTGCGCTCGAGGTGCTTCCGCCCATGCCGAGGCCTAAGCCACTGAGACCAGTAAGAGAGCCCGAAGAAACGCGGCTGCCGGCGCGGTTGCGGGAGGTGCGGGTGAGAGCGACAAAATCCTCATATGAGCCCAGGTCTGTTCGCAGGACTGGTTGTATGAGATGAGTGAGACTGAGTGGGTATGTTGGCGAGGCCGGGTCCAAAAGGGGTGACGGGGCGGCTTCGGAGCGTTCGTCGTCCTTGAACTCGGGTTTGCTAAAGCCAGGAGAAGACGGTGCGGTTCCGGTGGTAGAATCTTCTCTCTCAAGCGCCATCTGCTCCATGACGTGTTTGAGATCGGCGAGCTGTTGTTGTTGGGAGGTCAGTAGGGTCTCCATATCGCCTATCTGAGACCTCAGGTTGTCGTTTTTCTTTTGCAAGGCTTCCTGCTCCAGCCGAGCTTCTTCCTTAGCTGAGATGACCATGTTGTTGGCCTCCTCGAACAGCGCCGTAGTGAGATTTTCCAGCTCCTGCTCGATCTTCTTCTTTTCCTTTTCAATGTCTTCTCGCAACTTCCTTTCCTGGTGGACGCGGACCAGGATGTTCCTTTTCTCCTCCTCGACGACCTTCCGGCGCACCCAAATATCTCCGGCGAGCATTTCTCGTTGTGATGCATTCTGGTCCTCCAAGTGCTTGATTTGCTCGCGGGCTCTTTCCAATTCCTGTCTCGTGGCGGTTAATGTGTCGTCCAGAGTGGTTTGGTGGTTAATCGCATTGATGAGTTTTGTGCTTAGTGTCGCGACCTCGTCGTTCAGATCGGGGTGATGGGAGGTGTCGGCCTCGCTTGCCGGGCTCATAGCCCGGCTCCGGGGATCGGGCAAGGTGCTGAGTTCGCCGTCGTCGTCAGGGGTAGATACTGGCATGGGCCGCAGCGATGGAGAGGATGGTGTTGAAGACATTATCGGTACATCGGCGACGGAAGGTGCTTTGCCGGTGGTTTTGACAGCCTTGGGGCTGGGTGAGGGAGATCGAGCCATGGAAGAGAGAGACCTGAAATGGCCGAAGGGTCTGGAGCCCGGCTGAGGACCGGCATGCTGAGCCCAGCCCGCGACCGCGATGAAGGAATCCATAGCTGCCAAACGCGAATTCTTTGGTTACTCGGGGTTGATAAGCAGATAGCAATGTCAAGAGCAAGCACCGCCAGCGAGGACGAAGCTGTCGACAGTTGTGCAAATGTGCGGAAGGCCAGGCAGCGAAGGCCAATTGATTGCGGGTAGCAATCTAGCAAACAGCCGAAATGGGGCGTTGGGGAGCCTTAGATAAAGCAAGACGACATGGCGGTGCAATCGAGCTGGTGATAAGGCTCCTCGATCAGGTTCTCTCGGCGGTTAAGTTGATGGTGCACTCGGGTGCCAGGAGAGGAAAGAGGTCGGGTCGAGATTAGGTCGTTGGTCGATGGGGGTTCGTGATGGTGACTGCAGGTTGGGTGATTCGTATACGAGGCGAGGTTGGCGGAAAGAGGGGTTTGTTGCAATGATGATCAAGAAGGAAAGAGGAGAAGAAGAGATGATAGGTGAGGTCAGGTAAGAGCGAGACCAGGTCAAGCCGAGCGGCGGAGCCAACCCTCTTGAGTCTTTTCCAGTCGTGGCAGGAGGCGGACGCGGACTGCGCGAGTGGTATTAGCAGCAGGTGCTTGTGCAAGAAGTGCAGATGCAGAGCACCTACGAATAGAGAAGAGGCAGCGGCAAAGCGAAAAGAAGCAGCCACAGAGAGAATGAGATGGGCAGTAAAAGACTGGGGGACAAGGACCAGGACTGGAACCAGGCGGATGACATGGATGGCATTGGACGGGTCAAGTGCATGTTTGACAGGGGACCCCATCAGAGAGTTCCAAGATGGTGGTGGGAGCGCCGGGCCTTGAGCACCTTGAGCTGGACCTGGGCCACGGCCACGCCAGAACGGGCAGGGGTGGAGGCAGTGCACACTGCTGCAGCACCGGCAGCAGCCAGCAAGCAGCGACAGCGAACCTTGATGCCTCTCTCGCGAGGTGTGCAATGAACCTCTATGAAAGTCCCGGTACCGCAGCAGGAATAAACCCGGCATAACTTATGTAAGCTTATTAGACTCCACTTGTGCAAGTTCCGAGCGAGGTCCCTCAGTAAGCCGCTTTCCCTCTCACGATATGACACCTGTGACTCTGCATTCTATAGGTATTCGCGCAACATTGGCAGAAATGCCTTCGTCATGCCTCCGGACAATGCAAAAAGCAGCTAGACAAATAACAGACTAGCCAAGGTACCTTACCTTGCTCGATAGTCAGCCAGCAACCTTTTGGCGCAAACGAGGTAGTAATCATGGCAGCGCGGAATGCGCACGAGCAGGGGTTCATGCGGAGGAACATGCCGTCAGTCAGTGGTGGCAGGCGGCTGACGAGTGTGACGACAACCACAGACGATTTTTGGCTGCACATGTTCCATCGCATGTTCAAGTGTCGCACCGGGGCGGTCGGCTGGTCGGTCGGTCGGAACGCTACTTGCCTTTTGCGTGTTCACGCAGTTGAGCACCTTATTTATCGAGACTGATGAGAGAAATCTCACACGCTGGCAACATCGTTGCCGGTTTAATCGGGAGAGTTAGTTCTGGTGGGAACCGGACCGGGGGCTGGTTAGTTGCGAAAGTGGGCAGACCAAGGCCGCTGAGATGACGACCACTTGAATGATTCGCATTCGCCCCTTGAGAACTCCGTCACAGCCACAGCTCAATTAAAAACCCAACTCCGTCATTCCCGCCGCGTAAAGAAGAACCCCGTGCGAAAATTGCGAACGCGGAAACCACTTACACAACATATTACCGCGTATTTCAAATGGGACGGGTGCGTGTGCGAGTGCGAGTTGTGATGTTTTGCAGCCGGCCGTTTTATCAAATAATGTTTTGGAATGGCCGTTTGATAACACAAAAGACGAAAGCGTCTCATCCATCTCACTGGCCAGAGGAGAATAATAAACCTGTTGAAAAAATCCAATTCAATTGAATTCAGGACTGCGACAATCCCATTCAATTCCGCATCGCATTCCAGGTTCCCACCCGGAACTAACTGACTTGCTGCTTCGGGCAAGTAGGTTCGCATCGGTTAGACGGCTAAAAACCGCTCGCGGCTCTCGTCAGTTGTTGATCGGCTTCCATTTCGTCATGTGAGCGTGACAAGACGAGTTTTCCCCTCTTTCGCCTTCCGCTGTGGCTCTTTTGTTTCTCGTCGCTTCCTGTCGTGCTGACTGGCTGGCAGCTGCAGCGATCATGGCAGCAGACGGAAGGAACCAGACAGCGAGAGCACGGGCGTCAAGACAATCCGCAGGTGTCGTCAGGTGGTCAAAGTTATGAACCACCTTCAATTATTATGCATGGATTATCCACCCTATCCTTCCCACGCCGTCTCCATTTCCCCGCCGCTATCCGACCGAACCTGCCTGCCTTTATCGTCCACATCTCGCGTCTGGTCCTCCGTATTCTCCTGAACCCCTTCTCGCCTACGAACCTCACCAAACTACCTTACCCAACTACAAGCTATCAACCCTGCTTCATTGCTTCGGTACGCCGCAACTAGGCACAGCCCGTTCAAACGGACCCCGACGCGCACGCATCGCTGGAACACGACCATCTCCAACCCCGGCCAGCGAAGAACCACTTCAGATCAACAGAACCGCTCACCAGCCCCGTCACCCCATCTCTCTGCTGCATCGCCTGTCCTCAGATCTGCGCTGTCATCTGTCCTCGCCCCAAAAATACCACTATCGTATGCCTATCGTCTCCCCATGTCTCGCTCATCTTTCTGTGGAATGCTGTAACGTCGGTCCAGTCGGTTTCAGGTCGTAAAGACCATGGCCGACGAGCATCATTCAAACACGGATATTTACCGCTCTCATCCAAGGTATTGTCGGCCGTCTTTCGTCTTTGCTCTCGGATGACGACCGTTTCCTGATATCAAACTACGGTACCCATGCGGCTATGCGCTGGCAGCATCACAACTACTCTAGTGCTCTGCTGTGTCAGAAGCCTCAACTGCAGAGGCAGTGACGCGCCGCCAGCGCTACACTACTCTCGAGGCCGAGCACCGGCATGGCATCTCAACATGCCTGTCACATCCTGTCAATCCGTGCGTGTTGTCGGCCCCGTTCACCCTGGATTCTGAAGCGCGCTGAGAACTCCGTACCACGGCCTGCTTCAGCTTCACAATGCCTGTGCCCATCTCCATCGCCATCTCCATGCCTGCACGGCATCTACCGAGCGGCCTTGTCGTTATCCAGGGATTGCGGATGCCTCGCTGCACAACTTACCCAACAAGAGACGACAACTCATCACGAACCCAAGGTACCGGTACCTCCATACCCATTCGTGCCCCTTTGGCGCCGTCTTACTCAGATCAGGAACAAGGGCCCCTGCTCCGTCACCCAATATCAGCTGCAAGCCAAAATCTCTATCGCTCACCAACATGATTGCCGCCCATCTAGACCCGGCGCATTGATTTTACGCCTGTACTGACGCGCCTGATCGTCTACCACCGTCTTTCCTTGTTTCTCCTGGATCGAAAGCTCCCAACCGCATAGATTTGGATGCTTGCGGCTCCGGCAGACACGTTTCCTTTGAGCTTCATTTGATCGACACACAAAAACTAGTGGCTATACTCTCGACCACCTTGGCCTCTAGACCGGTCTTGCTGGGATTGTCAATCTTCGCTAACTCTCTTTGTCTTGGCCCTCTCGCGCTACACACGCCTCGGGCCTCATCTCCGCTGTCCGTTACACCCTCTTCAGCCTCGGCCACGACAAAGACAAACGGCCTCCCGACCTTGGCCTAGTCTAGACTCTCGCGCCGTCTATCATCACGTCCTTCCCATCAATTTCTCCTTTGCCCAGCCTGACTTGGTCGGCAGTGGCTGATGCCTTTGGCCACGCTCAACTACAACACACAAATCTCAAGGGACTCGATCTTGCAAGCCAGGCTATGGCTAAGCGATTAACTACCACACCTGCGCGGACCCGACTTCTGGAGCGCCAATGGCGCCTCACCACGCCGTTGATTTCTTGCCGACCTCGTCACTTCCAAAATTAAACTTACCAGCCCCTGCAAGACAAACGGTACGGCGCCTCACCTTTACGCAGATGCATCTTTGCATCCGACTTGCTTTTCCCCTGTCCGTCCGTTCTCTGTCAAGTCGTCGTCCCATATTCCCCGGATCCCAACTCTGTTTCACGAGATCCGACTGAGCAGGGCCCTACCATCCCAACAGTTATCCTTACAGGTTTTCTTCGGTTCCGTACAACCTACCGGTCTTCCCTTGACTTCTCATCGCTGACGCGTCGGATCTAATCTAATGTAGCATCTGCACTCGTCTGATGAGCAATGTTTAAACACACACAATACTTGGCCTCAAACCCTGGACCCTATGCGAAGCAACCCTCCACCGCCAGGAGCACCGAGCTTGGCATATTGTCGTCTCTCAGCTTACATTGCTTTTACTTTCGGATGTTGCCTCGAGCTCGTCGTCTGCGGCATCGAACGTGTGGTCGATGATCCGGACGGCAATCTTCCAGATCATCGGCAACTCTGCTAAGTGTTTCTGTGTCTCGCCGTCACGTTCAACATACGCTCGACTGGAACACGGAGACTGAACGCTTGTGTCCGAGGCCGTGGGCAACCAAGCGCTGCGCCTGTCAACAGTGTCACTGGAAAAGCCCACCGGCTTGGCCCGAAATCTGCAGGCCAAAACTCGCCGCACTTTCGGTCCTGCGGTGAGACCCCCGAGAGCCGCCGCCGCCGGGAGTCCGTGCCCGGGCGGGCGGGCGAGCGAGCACGCACCGCTCAACGACACGCATAAACGTCGTCCCATGTCCATCGCTTTTCGTCCACTCGCATTTCTGATCTTCGTCACCCTTGAAACGAAAACAGACTTTCCCCCGATGACCATCAGACGCACATATATAGCTTCCGCGACTCTCTGCGTCTCGCTCCAGCACGTATCCGCCGTACGCTGTGCCGACGAGATTCCAGTTTTCGTGGGGCCCTTCGTTCCTGAAAATGCTCTGCGCGTTTCACACTTTCAGCTCTCGCGGGACGGTGGGCGTTGATTACGCGT